CCCATCGCTTTTATTGGGATAGTTTTGAAGCGTCAGGATAGAAAATCTACCGATTTATTAGAAGGTTTCGATTTTCTGGCCTGGCTTGTAGTTGCAGCTGGAGTGTCAGTGGGACTGACAACAAGTTTGACCTTGAAGTATTTGAATAATATTTACAAGAATTTTGCGTCTTCAGTTTCGATTGTTCTGGCTTCTTTGAGCGCGATGTTTTTTGCTGGGAAAGATTATGGGATCAACTTTTTCATTGGTAGTACTCTAGTTTTTGGATCACTTTTTATGTACTACAGAAGTGGCAGATAAAGATGATTTTCCACAGCAGTCAGATAATATGCTGAATTTTTTCAACTCGAGCTAAATTTTGAAATTTATAAGCTTTGAAATGTAATTTAGTGAGTATCAGTCAACTATGAAATTGAATGGAATTATTGATATTTTAGTAGTGATACAGTTCTTGAGACATATAAGACATCTTGAGTGTCTTCTCAAGATGGGTCGCAATAATTAGACATGTGGTTACCGAGGTCAATATTATAAAGTGTCAAATGAACGTAGTAAAGGCTCTTATATAGGTCGCAATAAATTTTGTTAGTTTTCAAGAAAAGAAATTAAAATTTGTCCACGCTAATTTTTGATTTTTCGCGGTTTGACTTAGGATTTTTTCGTTAAGTTTTTATTTTTCATTTAAGCTCATTTTGGGTCTCTTGTTACAAGGAACGCAAACTCCACTATCGACCAGCATAATTGTTAAGTTTCGATTGTTCTAACTTCTTTGAGCGCGATGTTTTTTGCTGGAAAAGATTATGGGATCACCTTTTTCATTGGTAGTACTTTAGTTTTGGATCACTTTTTTTTGTACTACAGAAATGACAGATGAAGATAATATGCTGAATTTTTCTAACTCGAGCTAAATTTTAAAATATATAAGCGTTGAATTGTAATTTAGTGAGTATCAGTCAATTATGAAATTATGGAATTATTGATATTTTAGTAGTGTGACAGTTATTGATACATCTTGAGTGTCTTCTCTAGGTCTGCGCTACCATCAAAAGAAAATTTTCATATTCAACACGTTTAGTTCTTTCTCACACTCCCACATTGGAAAAAAGGATTTTCATTTTCGTAATACTTATTTATGTTATTATAAAAAAAGTCTAGTCATGATTTTTCGTTTTAAGTTATGAAGAAAAATGTGTTTACGCAAGCGTTATCAATTCGAGGTAAATACTTTTTTCTAGGGTTAACAACTTGCTGAACAATCTCAGTTGAATCATTTTGTAGCTTAGTTTATATTAAATGCAATTTTTTGAAAGCTTTTCCGGCAGACTTGCTCCAGAGGTAACGACAACTTCTTGGGTGGCAATGGCCTTAGGTTCGAGTCTGAACTGGTTCTGTTTTTTAAACGTAAATGTTCCCTTGCAAAAATTTTCTTATATTTACCAGCTTGTTTTTCGGCCCAAATGCAACAGTGGATTTTTTATGCTGTGTGCAATTTTTTGAAATTGAAAGTGTTTTTGATTTGTTTTTGTATTTGTAAAATTACTGAATCTGATTTTTTTCCGCTTAAAAGCTTGGTGGCCTCAACTGTTTCGACTACTTTTTATCGACTCAGTGACCCAATATTGCATCGTTTGAAGGAAAACTAGTTTTTCATCCTTTCTGAAGAAGGGAGCTTAAATTTTAGAATTGCTGATCGAGTCAGCGAATACTTATTTAACGCCAGTGATTGTTTTCGGACGTGTTTTCCTCAGATTGAACATATTCCAGGCGACATTTTGAAACTTATGTAGCTGTGGTTTATTTTTTTGTCTTTCGTTTTATCTGCTATTGGCTTTATTTTTGTTTTTTCTGCTAGCCTGCAATGCTATGTTTGTATGGTATCTGTGGCTTTGTATCTGTCACATAATGTAATTTGGCCACCATACAAAGTTTCAATCTTTTGTGGAGCATGGAATTGGTTTTTCGTTTTCGTTTTAGTCGATGATTTGCCTTGTTAAGAGTCAATGAACGTAGTTCAGACTCTTATATAGGTCGCGATGATTTTTTTCTGTTTTTTTTTCAGGAAAGTGTTCAGACTCAAATTTACTTTTTGCGGTTTGACTTTTGATTTCTTGCCTTTTAATTGAGGCAATTATGTTCAACAGCGAAAAAGTATAGTTTGTAAGTTTCTGACGGCTTCATTTCTGAATCTTTGAAACAGAATTAGTTTCAACAATAAGGCAGTTTTACTTGAACAACGTACAAGGTAAATTACGCTCTACTATGAGAAAATTGCAAATGACGGGAAAATGGAGCTTGCGATTAATTTTGAGATTGGCTTTACTTTTATGGATTTTTCCGATTACATAAGAGGTTACAAATTGACCCAGTTTTATCCAATCATTGAAAAGGGGGAAGAAGTTTATCTCCGTTTGTGTTGTAGTTTTTCTTTAACTTTTTTGTTTTGAACTCAAAAGTACGTATTTCAAATAGTCTCAGAAGGAGTCGAGTGATATATATTTAATATTAAAGCGTTTTTAGTCGTGGTTCGAACGAGATTAAACAATTTTCAATAAAAAATTCTTAATGTCGAGCGAGTAAAAGGAAATTTTGTTCATGTAAAACTAGTTTCGGGTCTTATGCACTAAACGGCCCAAAATTATTATTTCTACATCTCTTGAACTGAAATTAATGTGGTTGAATGTGATTGGCTAATTAGCCAATCAAGTTCCATCGACATTTTCTGCCATTTCAAATGAAATAATTCGGCCATTTCAAGCAGATAAAATTATTAGCCGAAACGATAAAAAAAATTGAATTTTTGTTTTGTCAAGCCATTTTTTGAAGCTTTTCTTGTCTGGTCAAGGTTTCACAAGTAACTCAAAATTAATTTGACTATTTTACAAAGTTCCATCTTTTCGGAAATTTCGGCTAATATTTTTATCTGCTGGAAAGGTTGATCGGAATGCCTGACCGTCTAACTTGAATTTGATTGGCTAAAATTACCCAATCAAATTCGATCGCATAATTTCCAGCTTACGATGTAAAAAGTTGGATTTTGGGCCGTTTAGTGCATAAGACCCCTAGTTTCAAATATATCAATAATTCTTATCATAATCAATAATCATTTTCTGAAATAAACTTTTCATTTTTTTCTTTGTTTTTTATTTGTTGAAGACAACTGTTGTCGATTATGCTTAATTTACTAGCCTCATACGCCTTCGTATAGTTCTTCCATCACACCACGAACAAAAACGACACCAATTTGAAGAAAATAAAAAACTTTTTTTGTATTTTTTCAAATTGGTTGGAACATTCTGTGTTATTTGCACAGCAACCGGCTAATATTGTCTTAAATAGAGCTTGATTAGTTTGAAACGATTTGAGTCAAAAATTTTCATGATTTTTAAACAAACCCTACTGTTTGTTGGCTACGTTTTCGACTTAATGATATCAACATTGTTGCTTGGCTAAAAAAAAATTGGGTCAGATTCATTAACTTTGAATAAAATACTGTAATTACCTTTGCGATGACCAAGGACATTGCAATTGGGTACGAGGCTTTTCCCCCGTATGTTCACAGGACTCATCCATCTGGACTCATTCATCTACTGGGCCTTTCTGTTGCAACAGACATTTTTTGAGCATATTAGCATTAGGAATATACGGCCTAATCAAAATTTATTGTTTATATTGGTTGTAATTTTAGCATTTCGTTTTTTAAAATTTCTTTCATTTTTTTTTCGGTGAATATTTCTACTTCTTTTAATGTGTCGGCTTGGTGGCCTCTCATTGCGTCGTTTGATGGCTAAAAAAAGTTTTTTTTTGTGCGTTTGTGTTCTCAGGGGTAAGAAATTTACATTTACAACTTTTTTTTGGTTTTTAGTAATTGGTTTTTTCAAATTCAAACTCAATCAACCATCCGGCACATATAGCGTAGAGGCTACGAAACTTCTTGAGACGTCATAGGCTTGTAGTTAGAATTTTAAAGCGACCTGTTTGGTTTTCGCGAACTATAGTTTTTTGTGCTGTTTCGGACTATCGTCCGCCTGCTTTGATTCCAGTCAAGACCGACCTGTTTTTTTTGCAAAGTAAAAATTCTCGGCTAGTTTAGATTTTTGTCTGTATGCTTTTTTTGTCGGCTCAGTTCCGCAGAAAATACTTAGTTTGTGATATTTTGCGCTTTTACTGCCATTTTATGATTTTTATTGCCAAAAACTTTTTTGAAGCTTCTTTATCAATTTTTTTGAAGAGTAATGAACGTTGTGAAGACCCTCATATAGGCCTTGGTGATATTTTTTTTGTTTTTTTTTTTCAGGAAAAAGACTTAAAATCCTCTAATACCTACAGATGTGCATTCATACATTTTGATGCCTTTATGAATGCAATTAGGTATATATATGCACTTTTTGAGTTCAGCTGAAATTCATCTTCTGAAAGTGCTCTTAATAGCACTCTCGCGCCATTTTCACGTTCGTATTTGGAAATAGCGCAAAAAAAACGTGAATGATTTCGAAAGTGAAATTTAATTTTTTTTTAGCGGAATAAAAACTTTACCTGTTGATCCAGTTTTCTCAAGCTGGGTTAATGTTCTCAAAAAAGCGCCAATCATAAATTGTTCTAGAAATTCAAAGAGCTGAAAGGGCATTTATTTTTTTTCTTTATTCGAAAGTTGAGATTTTTTTAAACAAAGTGTTTTTTTTGTTCACTTGCGTTCATTACTCTTTTCCAATCTTCGATTGGCTATGTTTCTTTTCATTTGATTTTAATCACTGGTATTCATTTTTGTCTCGCAAGTGGTACGAGGCTCAGCTTCGACTCTGCATCAATGCTTGATGCAATAAATTCTTTTTTGCAAAGAAGCAAATTTTAAACAAAAAATCAAAAATGGTTTTCTCCCGCGGTTACGAAGTCAGTTCAGTTCGATGACTTTTCGTGTAAAAAAATACTACATGATTGAATATTTTCTGAGATAATGTGTGTTATTCATTCGATTAAAGAGTGTATAAAATTAGCTTTAAAACATGAGTTCTAACTCGAAACACATCGAAATTAGAATTCTGGAACCAGATGAAAAGGAAGATGCTACCCGAAACGTCGTCTTATTTCTCGCTTTGACCGTTTTGACCGCAGCTGCCGATATTTTGATCAACCAATCAAGAAATTCGAAAGATGAAAAAGAAGTCAAGGTTGATTATGACCCAGCTGTAATGGTTTTTCTGATCGAATTTATCAAACTTGGACTTAATTTCTTATTACTTTCTGTGTGTCTGAAAGATGTGAAGCGAGCTGTTGAAGTATCGAAGTATGAGATTTTCTCAAATTGGGTTGAAACGTTCAAGTGTTCAGTGCCTGCTTTTATTTACGTCATTCAGAATAACTTGTCGTATTTGGCCTTGACCTATCTTGACCCTGGCACTTTTGAGATTACTTTGCAGCTCAAGTTACTAACTACAGCTTTATTAATGAGACTGATTCTAGATAAAAGATTGAACATATATCAATGGGCTTCGTTGACTATACTGCTTATAGGTGTATGTATAGTTGAATCAGAGGAGTTTGGACTTTTTAATGAAAATTTTTCTCTGAAAGAGGCGAAAGGCGCGGAACATTTGCTAATAAAAAGTAGGCTGAATGCAACTTCAAATATTTTATCAGACCAGAAAAGCGGCAGTTTTAACTTCATTAAGGGCGTGCTAGCGGCTGTTTCGATGACATTTATGTCGGCTTTAGCGGGAGTTTACTTTGAAAAATTATTGAAAGAGACAAAATCTAAAGATTCCACGACGATTAGTGGCAAAAATAGAAAAGGCTCCGAGGCTACTGGTGTGAATAAATTGTGGATTCGAAACATCCAAATGTTTCTTTTCTCAGTTCCCATCGCTTTTATTGGGATAGTTTTGAAGCGTCAGGATAGAAAATCTACCGATTTATTAGAAGGTTTCGATTTTCTGGCCTGGCTTGTAGTTGCAGCTGGAGTGTCAGTGGGACTGACAACAAGTTTGACCTTGAAGTATTTGAATAATATTTACAAGAATTTTGCGTCTTCAGTTTCGATTGTTCTGGCTTCTTTGAGCGCGATGTTTTTTGCTGGGAAAGATTATGGGATCAACTTTTTCATTGGTAGTACTCTAGTTTTTGGATCACTTTTTATGTACTACAGAAGTGGCAGATAAAGATGATTTTCCACAGCAGTCAGATAATATGCTGAATTTTTTCAACTCGAGCTAAATTTTGAAATTTATAAGCTTTGAAATGTAATTTAGTGAGTATCAGTCAACTATGAAATTGAATGGAATTATTGATATTTTAGTAGTGATACAGTTCTTGAGACATATAAGACATCTTGAGTGTCTTCTCAAGATGGGTCGCAATAATTAGACATGTGGTTACCGAGGTCAATATTATAAAGTGTCAAATGAACGTAGTAAAGGCTCTTATATAGGTCGCAATAAATTTTGTTAGTTTTCAAGAAAAGAAATTAAAATTTGTCCACGCTAATTTTTGATTTTTCGCGGTTTGACTTAGGATTTTTTCGTTAAGTTTTTATTTTTCATTTAAGCTCATTTTGGGTCTCTTGTTACAAGGAACGCAAACTCCACTATCGACCAGCATAATTGTTAAGTTTCGATTGTTCTAACTTCTTTGAGCGCGATGTTTTTTGCTGGAAAAGATTATGGGATCACCTTTTTCATTGGTAGTACTTTAGTTTTGGATCACTTTTTTTTGTACTACAGAAATGACAGATGAAGATAATATGCTGAATTTTTCTAACTCGAGCTAAATTTTAAAATATATAAGCGTTGAATTGTAATTTAGTGAGTATCAGTCAATTATGAAATTATGGAATTATTGATATTTTAGTAGTGTGACAGTTATTGATACATCTTGAGTGTCTTCTCTAGGTCTGCGCTACCATCAAAAGAAAATTTTCATATTCAACACGTTTAGTTCTTTCTCACACTCCCACATTGGAAAAAAGGATTTTCATTTTCGTAATACTTATCTATGTTATTATAAAAAAAGTCTAGTCATGATTTTTCGTTTTAAGTTATGAAGAAAAATGTGTTTACGCAAGCGTTATCAATTCGAGGTAAATACTTTTTTCTAGGGTTAACAACTTGCTGAACAATCTCAGTTGAATCATTTTGTAGCTTAGTTTATATTAAATGCAATTTTTTGAAAGCTTTTCCGGCAGACTTGCTCCAGAGGTAACGACAACTTCTTGGGTGGCAATGGCCTTAGGTTCGAGTCTGAACTGGTTCTGTTTTTTAAACGTAAATGTTCCCTTGCAAAAATTTTCTTATATTTACCAGCTTGTTTTTCGGCCCAAATGCAACAGTGGATTTTTTATGCTGTGTGCAATTTTTTGAAATTGAAAGTGTTTTTGATTTGTTTTTGTATTTGTAAAATTACTGAATCTGATTTTTTTCCGCTTAAAAGCTTGGTGGCCTCAACTGTTTCGACTACTTTTTATCGACTCAGTGACCCAATATTGCATCGTTTGAAGGAAAACTAGTTTTTCATCCTTTCTGAAGAAGGGAGCTTAAATTTTAGAATTGCTGATCGAGTCAGCGAATACTTATTTAACGCCAGTGATTGTTTTCGGACGTGTTTTCCTCAGATTGAACATATTCCAGGCGACATTTTGAAACTTATGTAGCTGTGGTTTATTTTTTGTCTTTCGTTTTATCTGCTATTGGCTTTATTTTTGTTTTTTCTGCTAGCCTGCAATGCTATGTTTGTATGGTATCTGTGGCTTTGTATCTGTCACATAATGTAATTTGGCCACCATACAAAGTTTCAATCTTTTGTGGAGCATGGAATTGGTTTTTCGTTTTCGTTTTAGTCGATGATTTGCCTTGTTAAGAGTCAATGAACGTAGTTCAGACTCTTATATAGGTCGCGATGATTTTTTTCTGTTTTTTTTTTCAGGAAAGTGTTCAGACTCAAATTTACTTTTTGCGGTTTGACTTTTGATTTCTTTTTGATTTTAGTTCATTTGCTTTTAAAAAGGAAGGCAAACTCCACTAACGAACAGCAAAAAAAAGTAAAGGTCACGAGAAAAGTAGTCAAATCCTAGTTTCGGCGATTTTAGATTTCCCAGTGGCATAAAAAAACTATTTATTGATTCTGTTCACTCAAATTAGGTCAACTTTATAAAAGAAAAGTGTCAATCATGAATTGTTCTAAAAATTCAAAGAGTTTTCAGGCGATCTCTTTTTTCTTTTTTTCGAAATTTGAGATTTTTTTAAAACAGACGCAAGCATTTTCTGCTGTTTATTTGCGTTCATTGACTCTTTTACAACTCTCTGTTGGCTATGTGTGTTAGTACGGGTCGCCAATAATTTTTACATGCTGGAAAGTTCAATAAAATTAACAGGAAATTCGGAAAAAAGTCAAGTGAGCTTAAGAGACTTGTGGCGATCGTTAGGTGTCTATGCCTCTCACCCTAAATGGTTGCTAGTAGGGTCGCAGATTTAAATCCGATTGTGCTTGAACTTGGAATATGATTGGCTAAAATAAATCATTTTGAAATTTGATGCAAGGTCAAATTAAGGGGTTTTTAACCAAAAATATCCATTAGACATGAGTTTTCAGATGTGCTTGTTGGGTCATTTTTGGTTAAAAAATGGTTTCAACCACCACAGGATCTAAGGTGTTTGGTGTGTTGCACTTAAGCAAGCGTTATCAAATTAGATTACAGTTTCGATTCTGCGCAATTGGTTCGGAGATAACACCTTTGCTTCGTATGACAAAGTGCCGGTGATCAAAGTGTTGTTCTATCATGTTTTTTTTAAAAAAAATTTGTAGGCTCAAGTTGCGGCAGCAAGTATTCTTTTTGAAAGTCAGTCTCTTTTAATGTTCCTTTCATGCAAGAAATTGAGTTCCGAGTTTTTTTTGCCTAAATTTTTTCTTCGCATGTACTGTCAGTATCTTAAGTCATCTTAAATAGGATAGCAAACTTATAAAAGAAAACCTTTCCCATTATTTAAATGGCTGCTTCCTGTGGTTGAAATTGTCAAAGGAGCATTTTTGAACTATTCAGTTTGTTAGTGAATGGATTAAAATGGTTTGTATTGGGTGAATATATACGGCAAATAAAGCTCATATGGGGATCAAGTGCGGTTATCAAATTGGAGACCCATTGGCAGGGATTCGGATTCCAAGAAAGTTTAAAACGCTATCAGTGTCCCGAAAAACTGATCTGAATGCAGGAGAGGATATAGGATTTTCTCGAGGGGGAGGCCTTTTTTTGCCGAGCAAAGCAGTAAAATTCTTTAAAAAAAAGGCTTTGAGTCGGCAGGTGGTCAAATCCCCGGGGAGAGGGGGGGGGGGGCATCCGCCCTCCCTGCCTCCTAAATCCGCCCCTGCCTGATTTTTTTTGTTTTTCAGACCAATTCACTCGAAGGCCAGTGGATCAGACAAACGTTTATCAACCATACGATTTTCTTAAGTGTAATAGAGCAAAGTGATTTTTACTTTTTTTTAGGTCTTGAACTTTTTTGTTTTTTATCGGCATGAAAAGTCTTAAAATGCTGTAATGACATCAGAAGTGCATTCACAAATAAAAATGCATTTATGAATGCACATAGGTGCATATACACTTTTGAGTTCTAATCAAATTCATTTGCCAAAAATTAAGTATTCAATCCTATTACGAATGCGGAAATTGTGCGAAAAAAAAGTTTCAATCAACTTTCAAACCTTTTTTTCTCAATTTCCTTGTTTTTTAGGCTTTTAGTTAGTTCTCGCCTGATGCAGTTGCTGTGATAGTGAATTTTATTGCTTCAGGCAAGTGGGCTTCCCGAAGGAGCTGGAGGTGAAAGTGACCAACTTAGAGAGTGGCGGAAGAGAGCAGTTACTGCCGGTGAAGCTGCTCTCCCTGTCAGTGTCCAATGCAGACTCCCCCATTGTTGACTCCCCCTCCTCGTACCACTCAATCCCACATTCTTCGTCCCCTTCATCCTCATCTTTTGTCAACGCAGACCCCCAATACCTATCGTTATACCCTACATTTTTCAAAAAGAAGGTGAGTTATTTGATCGAGTTTTCCCCGTTGGTGCATAACTGACTCAAATAGTTAAATCGAATTACAGTTAATTGCTTCAGATTTTTTGTCAAGTTGAACATTTGGCACGGACTCAAAATTCAAAGAATGGAATATTGTCATTTTATAGTCAAATTTTTTAATTTGATTTCACTTGGTCCTCCAAGGTGCTGTTCTCCAAGTAGTGTCACTTTTCTCTTCGTTTCATGGTTGATATTTTCTAGTGTAATAGTGCACTGCTTAGTACTTGGAGCCAGGCGACAGCACTACTTTCACTGTAACCTACTTACCCAAAAGAGCAGACGACAAACTGCAGTCGTACGTGTATGTCCACACACACGTAGGCTCAGTGAAGCTGCAAACAGTGGCCAAGAGTACTGCCAACAGCTACCGACTGGAGTCCATTCACAGTCCAGTGGTGCCAGTGAACACTTCATTCGAGACAGATATTACATTGTATAACCCGTATCCTGTCCAGCTCAACGTCACAGAGTTGTATGGCAGTGGGTCGGGCTTCCATCTCGAACCGGTCGACGATGAAAAGTCATGGGTGCGTTACAATATGCATTGTGTTCTAATGTTTCATTGGGATCTTTTATGTGACGGGATATTAATTGTCAAAGTTTTTCGGTTTTCTGCTCCTGTGCATTTTTGTCTGCTTTGCTTTTTAGTTTTTGAACTTTGAATTATTTAGTGAGCACATGTAACTAACAAGCATCAGTCCTAAGATACTTACAGGGATCGAGCTCACGGGCCCTAAGGCCCCTCGAGGAAACGTACCATAAGGTAGACTTTTACAGAATAAGTTGAGGAGAAAGAAAAGGTAGGAATTAGATCACTTGTAAAATATCAGGTGAAGGAGTTCAAAAATTATCAGTGAAAAAATTACGTTTAGTGTTCAATTGAGACTTTGACATATCTTTCAAGTTCTCTGGAAAAAGACTATTAGCCGAAAAAATATATATAAAACTTGAGCCCTTTCACGCTAACCGATTATAAGCAGTTAGATCTAACAGATTTTGAACGTAACATTCTCAAGCTACGGGCACGTGTTTGTCTTCAGTTATTAAGTTGATTGAAATCCAAAAATTTTAATGGCGGTTTACTATGTATTTGATAAATAACTTCTTTAAAAACAGTATCTAGAAACAAGTCAAAAACGGTATCAATATTATATTCTGAAAACTTTTCCGTAATGTGATCAAATTTCCGGATAAAGAAAATAGTTTTAAGAATTCGCTTTTGCATTCAAAGAATTTTGTTTAAATTTGTATTAGTCGTTCATCCATAAACTAAGATGCCGTATGATATTAAAGGTTTTGCATAAACTTGATAAAATCTAAGAAGAAATGTCCTAGAAGAAAACATTTCTTGCTTTAAAGAATTCCATTAAATTTAGCTAAGTTTTTACAAACATGATCTATAGGTTGCTTAAAACAGAGCCTATTATCTACCACAACCCCAAGATACTTGAAGGAGTTCACAACTTTAAATTTCTGATTCCCCAAAAATATTTCAGATTCTTTCGATTTCCTTCCGAATTTGGATACTTGCGTTTATCAATATTGATGGTTAGTCTATTACTTTTGCACCAATTTTCAATCGATTTAAGGTCCTGATAAAAATTTTTATCAACCGAATTGTTTTTGCACGTAGTAAGAATTGTTGTATCATCAGCAAACAGACAAATTTAGCTTTTCGTTACTTTCTTAGGCATGTCGTTAATATAAAGTAAAAACAGCAGTGGATCTAAGACAGATCCTTGGGGAACTCCGAACTTAATACTCTTTAGAGTTTTCCACAAAACGATACATACTGTTTACAATTGGTTAAATAAGACTGCAGAAAAGTGTTTGTTATACCGCGGAACCCATAGAGATCTAATTTGGTTAGTAAAATGGAGAGATCAATTGTGTCAAAAGCCTTTTTAAGATCTACAAAAAACCCTCTAATCCTGATTTTTTTAAATCATCTATACAGTGACGCATTATTTCGATTGCGGAAGTTATTGCATGCACACAAGAATATCTGCGCCGGAACCCAAACTGTTCAGGCACCAAAAGCTTGCATTTTGATATAAACTTAATCATGCGAATGTATTATTTTTTCAAAAATTTTGCTGAAAGTACTTAGCAAACTTATGGGTCTAAAACTGTTTGGCTCTGTCTGTTTTCCCGATTCATAAAATGGTAGTATTTTGTCTGGAAAAACGCCAGCAATAAAGCACTGGTTAAAGCAAAAAGTTAAGAATGGCAATATTATTGGCGCACAAAACTTGACCATCCTATTAATGATGTTTTAATTTTCATAAGACATACTTACAATAATTTTAAATATTTACTGTGTGCTGCAAAATATTTTTAAGAGTAATGAACGTAGTGAGTTATCTTAAATAGGTCTTGGTGATTTTTTTTGTTTTTTTTTTCGGGAAAGTCTTAAAATTTGTTCACGCTCAATTTTGATTTTTCTCGGTTTGATTTGTGATTTCTTTTTAAGTTCTGTGCATTTCCTTTGTTAAAAGGCGGGCAAATTCTACTACCGAATGGAGAAATGTAAAGGCCACGAAAAACATGATCGACTTCTTGTTTCGAATTTAATTCTCAGACTTTCCAGCGAAATAAAAATCTTACCTATTGATCCAGTTTTCTGAAATTGGGTTAATTTAAGCAAAAAAAGTGTCCATCATAAATTGTTCTACAAATTCAAAGAGCTTTAAGGCCATCAGTTTTTCTTCGAAATTCAAAATTTGAAGGTTTTTGAAAAAAACTAGTATCTTTTTTTTTCAGTTTCCTTGCGTTCATTACGTTTTTCCAACTGTCAGTTGGCTATGTTTTTGGTGGCCGGTTTCAAATTTTTATGTCTAATTTAGATATTGTTATTAATGTGAAGAACGTGGAGTTTGTTTAGACATTGGATCCCTATGAGACGAAGAGTGTGATGCGAACGAGTTTTTTCTCCATAGAAGCCATGAACCACACTGGTTTCCTCAAACTCACTCTCGAGACAGTCCAGTTCTCAGACTCACTTATACTCCCCATCCAGTTCGAATCTTCCCTCCGTCTGGGAGTCTATGCCAGCACAGATGCGGTAGACTTCGGCCAGATATTCCCGAAGACGAATCCAAAACACATGGACATGTTACTCATTAACACATATCTGCATGACGTCACAATACAGAGTATAACAAGCAGGAATAAAGCATTAAAAGTCGACTTCATTGGGCCGCAAATTTTACCAGCGAAGATGCAGAGATTTTATAAAATTGCTTCATTTCATTTGAATCCCGATTGGTTGAATTCAAGCAAAGACAGTTGTGGCGATATTGTTATTCGCTTAAGTGGGTCAGAGATGAACGAATTAAAAATACCTTTCAGGTCAAAAGTTTTAGTTGGGAATTTGACCTTTCACAAAAACAGCCCAAGGTTCTTCCATTTTTACTCAGGGTCCAAAGAAGTCAAGACGCGTAGCATCACGGTAAAGAATAATTTTGAAGAGACATTGTTAGTTTCGCATGTGTTTCTGTTCGAAAAGAAGGCGCCTGATTTCCGACTTGAGGGATTCAAAGGCCCTATTAAGATTGAAGCTGGCCAAACTGTTGCTTTGGGAGAGCTGAAGTTTTTCCCGCGTAATTTGACTCAGTTACAATTAGACAGTGACGGACGTTATGAGTTGCCTTCATATACAAGTGAGATCCACGTGTCTTCCAATGTGTCCAACTTGACACTGCCTTTTAGCTGCTACTCAGGACATCTAGAGGTAATTTGAATTAGTGTTACGAAACAGAAATTAACTAGGATTTTTTGTGTTTGATGATGGTTGTTTTTCAAGAATTTTTAACGACCGCTCGCAGAGGGTCAAGTGAGATAACATATTCAAGCTGTTTTACTTGTAATTCCCATTTCAAGCGAGATTTTACATTAGTTACACAAACGAGTTTGCAATTGCAGTGTTATACGTTAACCAAAACCCCACGTTTTAGTGCAAAGTTTTTTTTGTGTAAAGATTGAAATGTTAGTTTTTGAGGCAGATTTTTATATCTGTTTAAAGATATCGACGCCCTGAGCTCAATCATAAAAAGGTGTTTAACTACGATCATTGGTCGTAAAATTTTGGTGGTTTGAAATTTGTCAATTTGCTGGACAAAGTTGTGAATGGTTTTATGCACTTATCTATGATGCTCAACGCGTAAGTGCAACTTGTTTGAGCGCCGCTAACTAATATATGACTTCGCATAGGTAGTTGATAAGGTCATTTATTTCAGTTCAAAGTAGACTGCGTGGACAAAGACCTTCTCGGTAACTGTCTCTCGGAAAACGAGACCGAGGAAGACGAAGAGGAGGGTCCACATCTAGACTTCGGATACGTCTCAGTGGGCGCCACCAAATCTCTCTTGCTGACACTCTTGAACCCCAACAGTGTCTCGATTGAGCTTAATGACATCAAGTGGACAATGGAAGACACGAATGTGACAGTTGTCGGAGGAAAGTTCCGCTTCGACGGCGGAAAGTTAATGGACATTGCAGAGAATGTGATGTCCGATTATATTGATGTCGCGGATGCCTATGATGGTTTTGGAAGTCCAGATTACGAGGTGTATCCAGTCACGCCCTGCAGGAGTAAAGTTTCAGTTGCGGCAAATAGTTTTGTGATTCTGAAGGTGTCTATACGGGCTCCCGTGGAAGGCCAGATGATGGGAGGACATTTAATCATGAAGAGCAAATACGTGGTCAGTTTCTCATTTTCCCGACGATTTTGCATTCTCGAAAAGTCATCATAATGAAAGAGTTATTCCGACCACTTACCGTGTATTCAAGTTTTTGCATTCATAAACATTCAAACTAAGCGGTTTTTAAGTTTTCGTAGATGATCAGTTTTCGTAGAATTGCGCTGAAGTTCAATCTAAACGTGCTTTAAATTTCAACCTCATGTGAAAAATTATATCATGGAGACATTGATTGATTCTCGTTTTAATAACGACAGTTATCAGCTGTCTGTTAATAGGTTCTCCAGATCAAGATGCACTACCAGTCATTGATGGGAAGTCTACTCAGCAAAGTCTTAACGTTCCAATCGTTTCCGGTCAGTAGCAGTTAGTTTACCTAATTGAATAACTCAGAAATCCTTTGTTTATCTGACAGAATGGTTGGACTTGTTCTAGTATCGGGTGCAAAAGTTGGCGTTCACGCTGAAAAACAATTACGACAGAGACTTAGAGTTAGTCCACGGTGAGTTTCAACCGCCCGACCCTCGGTTCTCCTTTATAATTGTGAACCCACCCTACGGACTGGGGTACATAAACGCAGCTCGTGCAGACGACGATCAGGATGAGTTTGATCTACCTGTTGCCGCGTGCACTGTCGTGTTCAACCCGACCTTGGGTTGTGACCCGAAGTGTTATTTGGGAATTGACTCGCAGACATCAGAGGGGGAGCAGTGGGTGTCGAGTCTGAGGTTACCTCAGGATGTAGCGGATGTGGATGCGGGACTCCTGAAGCCACTGATTCAGACTTACGACCAAATGAAGAGTGATAATTCGATAAGGTGAGGCGTATACTAATATTTTGTACAATTAGAGTAGTATTTCAACACGCAAGCTACAAAGTTAAACTATGATTGTTGCATTTGCCGACTTCCAATCATTTACGAAATGAGTATTGTCACTACAAACCAAAATCTTAAGTGTTGATATTTAGATTTAATGTCGTCGTTTACATCGGCATACGGAGGTGTAATTTTGATGAATTACTTGCAGTCTTGTTCATAATTCAACATACGTTGTAATGTTTTCAGAAACAACATAACTGCGGTCATGCGACTAAAACCCATGAATGAAAAGATCACTCTTCCAATCGAGGCCTACCTAGAGTGGCCTGCTCTGGCGAAGAGAACTCTCGCATTCAAACTTGCTCATGTTGGAAGTGTATCTACAGCTAAACTGGAAATCAAAAACCCCTCAAATCGCCCCATTGTGCTACAGATCATTCCGGTCTCGCTGTATCAAAATGTGGCTAAGATATTGGAGATCTTATCGGAATCGTTCCATTTCGAGTTAGTACCAGGCATAAAAATGTCCAATCGTTTCACGAAGTTGTGATGTACAGTTAAAAATGTATATCGAAAAATATTTACCGTGTAATAATTTGAATAACTGATGTTCCAGGGAGCTGGCAGAAATTGATGTCTCGAATTTGTCTTCAGATAGCTTCTTCCTAACAAACTCAGAGGATAAAAATGTAAGTGTCTATTCGAAGTAGATGTATGGCTATTTAAGAATTGTGAAAAGTAGAATTAAAACATGACAACTTTATATGGATGTTCACGAATCCTAGCTTTTCTGAAACCGATTATTTTAAAAAATGGTATTTTTGACAATGCATATTTTGAAATGTATCTCTTATCATACATACTATTTTAGACGGCTCATAACAACCCTTCCATCCAATACAGAGCAGACTTAGAACGCAAACTGAGTGTGAAGCCAAGCAAACAAACGCTAACCTTTTTCGCCCAGCCGAACCAACATCTCTCAATCTCAATTACGTTCAACGCCACCGAAGCCAAACCACACCAGTCCCTATTCCTTGTCAGAAATAATCTAACAGTCATAGATTACGTAATGGTATCAGGAGTCGCAGCTACTTACAATTTCACACTAGCCGGAGTTCACCCCGTTATCAGATCGGAACAATCTGATGATGTGGATGAGAGTTGGATGTCGTACATACCATCCCCGTTGCATCTCCCGAAGCAGACTCACCTCGAGTTTCGCCAGGCAGGTCATGCAGTCGGACAGTCCATTCTGTTTGACCTGAAGTCGAACTACCTCAGTGAACATTGCAGTGGTAGGAGCTTACTTTTTGTAATTGATTGTCGATGAACATAGTTCAGACTGTTATGTATGTAGTGATGATTTTTTTTTCGTTTTCTTTTCAAGTCTTAAAATTTGTTCAGGCTCAGATTTACTTTTTCGCGGTTTTACTTAAATCGCGGAAGTCTTAAAATTTGTTCAGGCTCAGATTTACTTTTTTACTTTTTCGCGGTTTTACTTTTGGTTTCTTTTCAAGTTCAATTCGTTTCCTTTGCTAAAAGGAGGGCAAACTCGACTTGTGAACAGCGAAAGCGTAATGGTCACGAAAACCATGAACGACTTCTAGTGTCGAAAGTGGAGTTAAAATATCAAATTTCCCAGCGAAATAAAAGATTTAACTATTAATCTAGTTTTCTCAAATTGAGTTATTTGTATAAAAAAGTGTCAATCATGAATTGTTCTAGAAATTCAAAGAGATTTAAAGTCATCTATTTTGTTCTTAGAAGATTTTTTCCGTATATTAAAATAAGTTTACTCGCGCACATTGACTTTTTCCAACTGTGTGTTGGCTATATTCAAGGTTTATCTAAAGTTTTGGACCAGTTTAACACTCTTCCCCCTAATTTAATTAGGAAGCCGATCGTTCACTCGCCTGAAAACCCTCTTTTTCATCCAATCTGAATTCAGCTATTTGCATGTCGCTTTGACTTTTTATCTTGCGATAAGCGAGGATGTTGCAACAGAGTACTAGACTTTTTCAATGACTTGTTCACATGATGATTGAAATTATTGGTCATCTCCAAATCTGTACTTTCGTCATTTAACTGACAATCAAGTCTGGGTTTATTATGACTGCAATCTGAATTTTGAGCAAGTCTGCCTTCAATTTGCCCGGTCTATTCGAAATTTGTTTTTGTGTTGGTTGTAAATTTACGAGCTTCAAATTCAGCATATCAGTTTTTTTCTCCTGTTTTGACCTTTGTTGGGCTTTTATTCCTGTTTGATTTATTAAACAGGTATTATGAAAACGTTTTTTTTTTTTTTTTCCAGATGAGATCTGGTTTTTTTTTGTTTTTTTTTGTTTTTTTTTTTTTGAGACGCTTTTTCGAAAAATTCGCTTTCCCAAAAAACTACCCGTCAGATTCTCATAAAAGTGGTACCAATGGATTCAGTAGCGTTTCACCTACCTGCCTGCATAAAATTTAGGGCAATTTTTACCCTACCCCACCCCTTACGGTCTTAGAAAAGCTTCACAACTCGGTACTTTTTTCACTTTTTGCCCATTTTTTTTTTGGAAATTTTCGATTTCCTCAAAAACTACCCGTCCAGAGTTGGGATTAAGGGTTTAATCGATAGACCAGGTTGTAGGAAACTCCCATGCCCAAGCGGCTGGTCCCTAATTTGCTTAGGGGAAGAGCTATAGACTTAGGAAAAGTCACTTTTTTGATTTTTTTGCCTATTTTTTCGGAAATTATCGATTTCCTCAAAAACTACCCATCCAGATTTGGAATTAAGGGTTTAATCGATAGACCAGGTTGTAGTAAACTCCCCCGCACAAGCGGCTGGTCCTTAACTTGCCTAGGGGAAGAGCTATAGACTTAGGAAAAGTCACTTTTTTTGGCTTTTTTGGCCTTTTTTCAAATCTTTCCGATTTCCTCAAAAACTACCCGTCCAGATTTGGGATTAAGGGTTTAATCGATAGACCAGGTTGTAGGAAACCCCGCTACACAAACGGCTCGTCCCTAATTTGTCTAGGGGAAGAGCTATACACTTAGGAATAGTCAATTTTTCGGTTTTCAGGCCGTTTTTTCAAACTTTTTCGATTTCTTCAAAAACTACCCATCCAGATTTGGGATTAAGGGTTTAATCGATAGACCAGGTTCTAGGAAACTCCCCTGCCCAAGCGGCTGGTCCTTAATTTGTCTCGGGGAAGAGCTGTACACTTAGGAAAAGTTTTCTTAAAAGTTTTTTGGCATTGGAACAAAGATTCAATATACTTATTGTGTGTATTTTTTAGACAATGGAATCCGCTATGCTTACGTTTTCTCGCTTTTGCTTGGTGCTATTGGCTTTGTGTTGAGTTTTTTTGTATGGTTCGAAGAAGTCCAACGAGAAGTTGCACGAGTTACGCTAGTTCTCTTTAATCAGGTCGGTTTGTTCCAGAACGTTTTTGTGATGTCAGTTATAGTCAACATATTGTAGTCATATTTGCAATGCTTGGACAAAATTTAATTACTTCGAAAATTAGAGTCGTTAGAAAAATGAAAAATACTTTATTTCATTAATGTTAGCTGGTTTGTGAAACACTCATTTCACTTAATTCTAGTGAATAATTATTCACATTGTTGAAGCATTGTGCATATTATTATTATTATTTATTATTATGGATTCAGCTATTAGAGCTTGGGTGTTTCCACCCTTAAGTTTCAGCGTCATGCAAGTTTCCATGTCGAAATATCGTTGTATCTATAGTTTGTCATGAAGTAATATCAAGTGCTTCAGTAGTCGTGGTTTGAGTCCCTGATGGTTGGAGTAGTCGATTGAATTTGGTAAGATGTTCACAAGTTTGCAGGTTCTGAGCCAAAACTCCTGTTGGTACATAGATTTCTTTATTTTCGGCAGTTCGAAAAAAGGTTTCTCTGATAACCGGGTGGCTCTGTCGAATTCCTTTATATGATTTTATTTAAAATATATTGAGCATGTAACCATGATTGATACGGTTTGCATTGTCTAGGGAAACACCTATGGACTTGAAAAGTTCCCTCATGAAAACTTTTTACCAAAGCGTTACCAATGAATGCATAAGCTTCTCTTTCACTTTTTTGCGTAGGAATGGCGCTATCGACTTGAGAAACCTGAAATTTTAAAACAATTTTAAAATAAATAATATTAAAATAATCAAACAGGTCTCTCCAGCTTTCAGCTGGGCCCCTAGTTGTGTAGGCTTCGAGGCTTTATTTTGAGTCTTTGATGAGCAAAAAAGGTGACACTTACTTAGCAAGGGTATTGCAATCGGGTACTAGCTTTTTCCCAAAAAAATAACTTTGTTCACAGGATTCATTCATCTCCTGGTTTTTTTTGACATGCTCAATTTTCAAACAAACTATTATCATTTAATTAGTAATTAGTTAAAGACCGTTTCAGGCTCTAATTATTTTTCAAAAAGGTGTCTAAATTTGAAACGCCATTTTCAAAAATCATGCAGGGTTTTTATTAGCTGAAGTTTTAAGGCATGGATTTTGTTCCAATTCAAATAGTTTTTACAATGACTGAAATTTCACAAATTTGTTAATTTACCAAACCTGATTTTGAGTGTTTTTATAATTTTTTTTATTTAAACATTTTCAGTTTATGTTATATCGACTTAGTCACCTTATTTGGCGTAATTTCGAGGGCAAAATGTATCGGTTTGTGTGGGTCGTAAAAAATTTTTGAGAATAGTTTTGTTTTCGGCTGAGCAGGTTTCGACCCAAAGCTGGTGTCGCCTTTGTTCTCACTCGGTTAATGATTTCCAAATTTTTTAAGACTGTTTTTGAACTTCATCCGATAAAAACATCAAGTACAAGTTTTTGTAGCTGTAATTTTTCAATTTTTTCAACATTTTTTTCCACTTAATTTTTCCTTTTTTCTACTTCTGTTTTGGAGCGCAATGTGCTTTTGCATCGCAAGTGTTTAAAGTGCATAAATTTTTTGGTGGAAACTTTTTTGAGCTATTTTATGAAAACAATTTTTCGGTTTACCGTATGTCTGCTCAGGTACTGTCGGCTGTAAATTTGTTTCGATGTCCAATTAGGATTTTAGGCACATTTGAAAAAGATCGGTAATTTTTTTCCGAAATGTTTTCATAAATTTTAAGTGGTTTTACAGCTTATTTTCTGTCGGTTAGTTTGCCATGCTGTTTGTTGTATGGCAAGTGCTGCGACGCTTGGATTCACCTGTGTTCAAATTTGCCATTTTTTAATATTTTTTTCTATGAAAACGGAACTTCAAGAACCGCTGAGCCAATCTGTTTAAATCTATTTTCTATTTAGTTATGCACAGTTTTGTAATTATAAAGAACTTTCTCTGTTTGATAAAAAAAACCAGCAGTTCCTTAACTTCAAGATTTTTGACATGAAGTGTTTATGAACACGTCTGGAATTTTCATTGTCTTTTGAGTCGATCTTTTATACTGATTTAGCGCCAGCTTTGGTCTTATTGTGTGTTTATTATATTTTTTATTTAAAAAACTCATCCATTAGGTTTAAGCTGCACGCCTCAGTTGTAAGTTGAGTTTGCTTTAGATATTGAACTATAAAGCACTTTTATGAAGTCACAAGACGAAGACACTTGACAACTTCATTCATCACTAGCAAATGGTCTGTGTTGTTATTAATTTAAACTGGTCTAATATGCTTTTAGCCGTATCATTTTCATGCTTAGTTTCACCGATCTGTTTTTTTTTGTAACAAAGTTGAAAACTGTCATGGTTAGCAAACAAAACGATAAATTAGTTGCAAACTATGTCGTAGAAAAGTAGATTTTCAAAGTCATAACAGAAATTACCGAGCCTTATATACTTAAAAAAAATGAAATACACTAATGTTTGGTGAGCGCTAGCCATTATTGTATATCTTGAAACGTCGAATTTTTGGTGCCATCGTGAACTTTTAAGTCATTTTAGCTCCCGAACTGTGATTCCAAATTAGTTTATCTACCAGTGTTTTTGACAAGTTAAACGTGCTCTAGATTTAGCCGGGGTATTCATAAACCTGTGCAAGCATGAAAAAAACGAGAAAGCTTAGTATTAAAAATCTACCGAAAGTTAGTTTATTTGCTTTGAAGAATGCATTTGATAACTTCACTTTTTCATAAGTGTTGCATAATTGTTGCGTAACGACTTGAATTTTTCGGCTGTTATGTACTTAATCTAGTTTACATTTTGGCTAATGTAGATTCATTCTATTGATAGAAATACGAAATTTGGCCACTGGTTTACCGTTTTGTAAAATAAAAAAACATAACAATTCCAATTGAGGGTTAATATAATGATGTCAAGGTTTATGTTTCCATGTTTACAAGTATATAGATTAATTAGACGCCATTAGGATGCAAGAGCCTGTTTTCGGGCGCCTCAAGTAAAAAAAAACAGATAGACTGTTGTACACTAGCAATTGAAGTTTCGGAAAAAAAGTTGTTTTTCAGGTAAAACGACTTCTCCGTTCAAAGTGAAGAAAAGGAAGTCTCTGCTGGTCTCCAACACTGGAATCATCCCATTCAGCATCCACTCTGTCCTCATAAATGGACACTTCTGTGAAGCCAGTGGATTTGTTGTGGAAAACTGTGACCCAAACACTGGTCATGTCAACTTCTCGTCTCAATCTCTCGCTCCAAATGACGATTACGAACTCCTTATCACGTGAGTGTCATTCAATCTATTAAATATTAAAATGCGGGCTTTCACTATCTCGCCATGTTTATTGACGTTTTTTTTAACGTTTTTTGACGTTTTTTCCTTTTTGAATTCAGTGTTTAGTTCACCAAGTTTCAAATTAGCAACTGAATAGTCGGATGCTGTCAGGGTTTCCCCGGATGCTGCGATTTTGGCCTCCGTACATGAATAAGCAAATCTTTTTAGGGTAGGAGATAGTCAATTTTCGAGATTTCTCAAAAATTTCTAGAACATAAATTTTAAAAGTTTCTGAAAATTTGAAATTTCAAGCCTGTAGTTGAGGGCTGTCAGGGTACTCTCAGGAATTGCGAATCTTGCCTTTGAATATAACTGCTCAAATCCTTCTAGTTTTCGAGATTTGACAATTTTATAGGATTTTTTCAAGATTTTTCAAAGAACTTAGATATAAAGAATATTCACAAAATTCGAAGTTCTTGTTTCTATAGTGAGGCTCTTTCAGGGTAATCCCAGGAGTTGCGAATTTTTCTCCAAGTATGACTGCTCAAATCCTTGCAGTTTTCGAAATATGATGTTTTTTTGTGATTTTTCAAAAAGTTTTCAGAAAACTTGAATTTATTTTTTTCCTTTAAAATTTGGAATTCCCGACTCTATAGTGAGGGCTGTCAGAGTATTCTCAGGGGTTACGAATTGTGCCTCCAAATATGACTGCTCGAGTAATCAAATTTTTCGAGATACGAAATTTTTTATGGTTTTTGATGTTTTATTTTAAATTTGAAAAGTTTCTCAATTTGAAATTCCTAGACCTGTAGTTAGGTTTTATGACAGTACTCTCTGGACTTGCAAGTCTTGCGTTCAAATGCGATAGCCCTTTATTTTAAATTTCCGAAATGTGACGTTTCTTAGTGCATTTTAAATTTTTTCAAGCAACTTTTGATATATTTATTTCAAAAAATTTATGGTTTTTCAAAATTTGAATAGTGAACTACCAGCCGTGTAATTGGGTGCTGTCAGGGTACACTCAAAGGATGCAGATCTGTTTTTTTTCTCAAAATATGCGGTTTCTTATGAGTTAGTAAAAATTCGAAGCACCGGAGGTGCGTTACACGCTAGTTGAAATGAAAGCTCTCTGACGAATGATTTAACATGCTGAGAAACAATTAAGGAAAAACTAGCCTCCAAGTTGCTTTCGATCATTTTTATCCGTGCGATAAGATAAGCAAGGGTATTGCAATCGGACTTAAGACTTTTTCTCAGTAAACAACAGTCCACGGAATTTCTACTTCAGAGGATCTTCATTTGTAGAGGGAGATACCATAGCAGTGTCTTCTTCTCAAAGCTTCTTCAATTTTAAGTAAAATTTAGTTCAAACCCCTTTCAGGTTGTAATTATCTTTTCAAAAAAAAAGAACCGCCGGCCACTTGATTTATACTGCCCTGTTGTCAAAAGAAGAAGATTTTGGGTTCTCCACTAATGAACAGCGAAAGTTTAAAGGTCACGAAACAAAAATTTTCTAAAATTGGCTTGTTTTTATCAAAAAATGCTAAGCATAATTTGTTCTAGAAACTCAAAAAGCTTTAAAACATCTATTTTTTCTTTGAAATCCAAATTTTAGTAATTTTTTCTGTTAACTTGTGTTCTTTGACTCTTTTCGAACTGTCTGTTGGCTCTGTTTCTCTATTCAAATGAGAAGACTTATATATAGATATAGATTCGTCCCATTAAATTTATGATTACCGCTTGTACATTGAAAACCACCCGATCACTGAAAGACCAATAGTAGATGTTATTCATTTGGTCTTGCAATCTTGATGGAATGATTGATAGATTGATTTATTTGGTATCGTCAGGAAAGAGTACGGTATGCAAGCCATCATTTAATTCGTTCTGTAGATAACTGATCAATCTATTTGATAAGTTATCAAAGAAGCTTATATCGGCACGGCAACCAGGTAATGTTCAGATCTGGGTGACATTTTACAAATACAACAAAATGTTTGTAATATACACCCAAAGTTTTTGTGGAAATTTTGTTTCGATATGGCAATTGTCGTTGAATTATTAACTAATAGTTGCAACGAACAATTGAATAATAGTACAAATATGAACAATAATGCTGTTTTTAAACAATTTTTGTTGCAATCAGTGTTGAAAAAGTTCAATTGTTGTGTAACTAATTTAACATGCGTACAAAAAATGTAGAGTTATTATTGTCTCTATATCAGAACTGACTGAAGCTAAGCTCAATTTTACACTCAAATCTAATTTTTGTCAATAGGCTTTTGTCATATCAATGCCGACCATTAAGAACGATCCCTCACCAATTATCAGGGCTGGTCAAAATATGTTTTTTTTTAAAAAAAACGTTTAAAACTGTTTTAAACGTTTTAAACAGTTTAAAACATGTTTTTTTTGCAAGAATTTATTTTTTCAAGCAACGCATACAAAATGCTAGTTTCTCAGTTTTCTCTGAGGAAAGGCTGTTCCTGAGGTCCCCTTCCACATGACTTTTGCGGCCTCGGCGTATGTACCAGCGTTAAAATCCGTCTGATGCGCGTCCACGACTTGTTTCAGTTTTTGCCAGTTGTTGACATACCTGGAACACACAAAACACATGATACAAACGCTCAAAAACACCTGAAAACAATATAACTAAATTATATAAAAACGTTACTGACCATTTAAGTGTTTTTAAGCAGCTGTTCCATCTAACGTCACTTGGAAGAGGCGCCTTGGTCGCGCCTTCGACACTTTCTAGCCAGGCCTTTGGTAAATGCGCAATTCGAAAGAGTTTTGCGACTGTGATCACTTTTTTTACCACTGATGTCGGGTAAATGTCTTTCGCAAGCAGATTGAGTTGGTGGGCACTTGATAGCTTGTTGAAAGAACTGCACTGTACGTGTTAATTTGGATGAATCAAGTAACAGCTGCCAGTTAAATTGCGTAATAATTGCGCCCTCGCAGTCGAAACATGAAACACTGTTTAAAACACTAAAATTGAGTCATGTTTTAAACAGTGTTTAAAACAGTTTTAAACACTGTTTAAAACAACCCCTGTTTTTTATTGACCAGCCCTGCCAATTATAGGGGGCGAAAATTGACATGACTATGATTGTTTTTACTCGTCTTTTATTTGCTGAGGGATCGTTCACATGGTCTTCGATACCTTAAGGAAAAGTAGAACAAAAGTAGATTTACTCAATAGGAAGTTAAGTGTGACAGGTTGAAATCCAATCAATTTCCTTTATTTTTCCCAATTTCTTACTTTCCTGTTGATAGATAGTTCAAATTAAAAGTTCAAAAGTTGCTCAACGTTTTCTGATTAAATGGACACATTGGCAGCTTAGTTTTAGTTGCGTTTCCTGTTGTGGTGTGCGTTAGCCAATAACTTAATGTCCTCTTTTTATCTGGTGACTACTGTTTTTTTTAGATATGTATTTGTGTTGTAGCGATGATTTTAAAGCAATATCGTCAATTAACCATTTTCAGGAGTTGTTTGGGATTTGTCAAGCAGAAGGCAATATTTGCTTTTCTTTGTTCATAGCTTTCCGTCTCAGATTATTTGTGTTTTTGTTGGAAGAGAAGAGGTATCATCAGTGCGTTCAATTTGCCCCCTCACAAACCACCGGAAGCAGTAGACAGAACATACGTGCCATGGTGGATAGAAGTAAACGCAAAAATACCCATTTCACTAACACCGTATTTATACCACCACGTACGATTAGCGAGGTTGTAGAAAATAAATAACTAAAAAAAGAATGACGTGTCTTTCTTTTATTCCATTTTGAACCACATTTTCTTTCTTTTAAAAAATTAGTGGTTTTTGGAAGGTAAAATATTTACGAGGTATTTATGATTTTCTTTGGGCTATTTACGTGGGCCTCAATTTTGAACTTGTTTTGTAACAAATAGAAAAATTTGTTTTTGAGATCCAGCTATTTCTAACTAATTAAGAGATAGATATTCCAATCTGAAGACTTCTGCTTTATTTTATCTTTTTAGATATTTGGTGTTCTTCGTTTTATTATTGCTGTTTATTTTCATGGGTCGATCGACGTTGGATAAACTGTTTGTACTTCTTGTTAAACTGGTCTTCAAATTGATTAAAATGTAAGGAAAGGTCCATCTTAATGAATTTCGTCTATGGTTCGAATAGAGATCTCAAATTTTCTGCGGCTGAATTTCTTTCGACATCTGGAATATTTTGAAAGCTTTCTTTTTTACTTGCATTGGTTAGCCAAATTGTTAATTTTTTTGAGAAACTATGTTCTTTTCAGTTATCATTAAGTGCTCTAGTTGAAAAAAATAGATCTGAGAAGATTTTAGATTTTGGTCTTTCAAGATCTAAGAAGAGAATGCGTTGCCCATTTTTAATCACTCAATCCTGCAATAATTTGGTAAACTCTTGTTTAAAATCTCATTTGAATCAAACGCAAAAAAATGTCCGATTGTTTAAATCTTGCTCCAATTAGTTTTTCGGTTTCAGTTTTCATCCAGACTTTGCGTTGACCAAAGTGGAAGCGGAACTTCAGATATTTCTGGACATGGAGTTGAGCACTCCACGTTTGTTCCACCTCGTCGCTACTGTTCCCTTCACATTCATCCCTAAATGTGCGGCACAGGTGCCCCGTGCTCCATGGGAGGGATATCTCTACTCGGCGGTCGTGCTCTCAATGATCACCCTCTTCTTCGGGGCAATGATTACGTCATACTATGACGCGAAAAAGCTCATCATGCACACTTACTGTAACTCGACCACGTCTCAAAATGGCAGTCCGTGTGTTAACGTGCGAAATATGAACAAAGATAAATTTCACGCACATGGAAAATGGAATCAACAATCAGCGTCAAATTTGAAATCACATCATAATGGAGCCCATGACAAAAACGTGGTGGGAAGAAAGCACGAGTCAGTTGAAGACCTGTCGATGTCAGTTCATGATGATCATTCGGCTGTGGACAATTACTTGACGGAGACTGTGAATCCAGACGGGACTAAGGGATTCCTGTTGAACTTTGGTCTTTCTGCTTCGAGTATTAAGGCTACGAATGAAGAACCAAGTGGAAAGAGTTCGTTGTCTCGTGTGGCGAAGTCGACCGATAATGTATCTACAAAGAGGTGAGAAATTTATTTCAAAATTTTGGTTTAAAGAGATGTAATTTTATGGTGCACAGTCTAAACAATCCCTGTCGAAATAATAGTTACAAGTTATCCAAAATATTAAATTTTGGGTTCAAATTGCGTTCTAAATACTAAGATTGCTTGCTAGATTCTCAAATTTTTAGACAAGAATGTCATACGCTTTGGTAGCCAAGTTCAATGACAGTCACGAGAATTTGCCTTTCGTGCTGAAATCTTAAATTACAGATCCAAACCAGAAAAAAAAACAAGTGTAAAATAAGCCTGTCTGCCTCGTCGCATTGTAATATATAGAATTCTGTTTGCTTTTTTTTAAAATTAAGTCGTGCAATTTTTTGCCTTTTTCGTGAGTAATCAAATAAAAAAGTGACTTGTAGGGAATAAATGTTCGTAAAAGAATGGTTGGAGGGGGATGGTGTATAAAGAGGAATCCGTTCCATTGTTTCAGGATGCCTGTGGCAGTCGTCTCAAAGGTAGATGCACCAGCAGTCACCATCGAAGCCAGAGAACGGTTCCTGGTATCCCGAGAGAAGCCGCCAAATATAAAACGATTCCTGTCTGCGTTCACGCAAATGTTTTACATTCAGCCCATTTTCAATATTTTATCTCTGGCATTCTTTTTCATTTTCAAGACGTTTCCTTCACAATTATTCGCTATTGTCAAGCGGATGGTCAATTTAATAATGTACATAGTTCGCATCATCTTTTCTTGCTTTAGATTTCTGTTCAAGTCGTTTTTTACTTTTTTTACTTGGATTTTATTTGAAAAATTGTTTGCTCGCAAAAAAGAGAAGTTTACGTTATCGCCGGAGAAAAAGTCGAGAGGGACCTACACTGAGACTATTCATTTAACGAGAAAGCAAAGACAGAAAAGAGCTAGAAACTGCGTTCAATCAAAGACCAATGGCAGGAAAGGTAGTAAAGGGTTTAAAAACGAAGAATCAGAAGAGCACTCTGTCGCGGCAGCTGAAGACAAAGATTCGCCGACCGGATCTGAAGTCATGGACGACCAGAGCTCCTCGCGGTTTTCGACTCCCGAATTGCCGCAACGATGGAACTTTGGGTGTCGCAATGCGGACACGAGTACTCGTTCGTCGAGAGCAAATCAATTGCCATTTATGGATAGTAGCTCTTCGTCTCGAGCGAATGGAGACGAGAATGTGAGCTCGTTGCGTCACAGACGAAATGTAGAGGCTGCTTCGGATAATGAAAGTTCGGTCGGTGGAAGTGACGAAAGCAGTGGATATTTGGTCGAGGACGAAGAAAGTGTGAATGGAAATAGTTTCACGCCAGCCGTGCAAAGAGGGAATTCGCGAAGTCTATACAGTGGCGGAGAGTTTGCATTTGGCTCTGACGGGAGATTGAAAAGATGCGAACAGAGAGATGCTATTGAGAATTTTTCAAACCAAAATGGAAATTTCAATCCAAGTAAGTGAAATGTCTAACGCGCACCTTATTATGACTGTTGCCTATAAGTTTTGCAAAAACATTTTTTTCCAATAATACTACGTTAAAAAAGTTATATTGATTGTTTTCCAGATGTGAGAATTGCACAAAACAGTCCTAAAACTGGCACCACTTGGAGTAGACCTGCATCATCTGAGAGTCGGGAATCCAGTTATGAACAGGATGAAAATGTGCCGCCGGGATTTGAGGACTTCGCCATGCATTCGAATGTCGGCAGAAGATCCTCGCACTCAGTTGTACAAGCTACTGGAAACTCAAACTTAAACGGTGCGTTATGTATGTTTGTGAGTAGAACTTGGTTCAAATGCTCAATTTTTTGAACGTTTGTGAAAAACTTTCGCTGATATCATGAAGTCTTGAATCACATGGTTTCTGTGTACCATAATAAAATATGTGAAAAGATAGCTGTTTTCTGTTTCAGATGATGTAAACGGTCCTCGACATTTCGTAACGCAGGATTTGGAGAGGTCATCTTTGATTTCAGCGCAGCAGCAGCATCACAACTCCAATAATCACTTGAGAAAGCAAAACGCTGTGTTCCAGAAGAAGCAAGTTTTCGACGCGAATCACAGCAATACTGTGTATACCAGGAGTGTGTCGTCTGGGAAAGCCTCATTGAAGACTTCAGAGTTTTCAGCAACATTGTCAACACCCCAGGGTCTGGCTGATTTCAGAAAAGGTAACAATTTTCATCACCTTATGCACTGAAGTTCTAAGTTGTTTGGGTGATGATGACCAACTGGGATTTTCAAACTTTCCTTATTAACATTTTTGAGTCAGTTTTCTCACTTGGATTCCAAGGCTACTCTACTCGGTTTTGCCAGTAATGTTAATGAAAAGAAGTGCACATTTTTTTCTAGGTCGCTTTTGCAATTCATTTGACAATCGGAGCTCAATGTCAAACGAATAGAAGGCACTTTTCCGTTATACCTGCATTTCGTAACTGATTATTAAGTGTTGAAGAACAAAGTGCTCTAATAACTGCAGAAGTGCATTCATATTTATTAATGCATTTCTGAATTATCATTTAGGTCATTTGCTAAAAATTAAAAAAAAATTGCGATCTACAAACGGCGGAAAAAACGCGTACGACTTCTAGTTTCGAAAGTGGGTTTGTACACAATCGTAGCGTTGTGTGATAATACAAGGCTACTTTTTACCAACCTAGTGGCAATAATTAGTGCTGCTTTTGGTGGCTTATTTCAACGGGAAGCTCAAATTCCCGTTTAATGGCATATGCGTTAAACAGAAGAAAGATATTTGTTTCATTCAACTCTACATAAGTAAAAATCTAGTATTTACACATTCGAGTGTAGTGTAATAGTACGGACGTTCTTTTTTTCGACCGAAGTCGCAAATATTGGCGCAGATGCGAGTCATGTGGCGCAGATGCGAGGACGCGCGACTTCAAATCTTTCGATCGTAGATTTAATCGACACAGAATTAATTTTATTTTTCAAGGCTTATTTTTACTTGTTTCTTTTTCTTTTGTAAATCTATCTATATCTATCTATCTATATCTTTCTATCTATACTATATTTAAATGCGAGTGACAGCTATCTCCCATGTTTAAGCATAATAGTTTTGCATGTTTAACGAAAGAATTTTTTCATGTTCAAGCTATATCATATTTTGCAATGCTTAAGAAAATTTTTCGCACGGTCATTAATGTTTCAGTATTTTTTTGTTCGAGGCCAAATTAAGTCTGTCTGTATACCTGCTTTTTAAGTTAATTTGATTATGTCGGTCTACCCGTCGCCTAATTTTTTAAATTTTATCTATTATCTATTTTATAGTTAAATGCGGGCTTCACTATCTCGCCATGTTTAAGATTTATCAACGTATTAGTTTTGCATGTTTAACAAATGAATTTTTTCACGTTTAAGCTATATCGTATATTGCAATGGTTAAGGTGTTTTTTCAATTTTCCCGTTTAAATTCAGTTTTTAATTCATCAAGTTTGTAATTAGCAACCCAATAGTTGGATTTTGTCAGAGTTTTCCCAGGTTTTGCGATTCTGACCTCCATATATGAATAACCAAATCCTTGTAGTTTTCGAGATGACGTTTTTTTTTTGGATTTTTTCAAAATTTTTCAGAAATTAGATATAAAAAATTTCGCAAAACTTGAAATTCTCATCTCTGTAGTTAGGCTCTGTCAGGGTGCTCTCAGGGATTGCGAATTTTGCCTCCCAATATGACTGCTCAAATCCTTGTAGTTTTCGAGATATGACGTTTTTTATGATTTTCTCCGAAATTTTCAAAAAAAGCTTAAATGTTAAAAAGTTCCAAAACTTTGAAGATATCAATCCTGCCGTCATTGGAGCCTTTGAGGTTTGAGGATAGTCTCAGGGGGTTGCGAAACTTGCCTCTGAACAGGACTGCTCAAAATCTTGCAGTTTTCCAGATATGACGTTTTTTGTGATTTTTTCAAAAAAATTTTCACGAAAATTGAATTAATTCTTTTTTCAAAGGTTGAAATTCCTAACCTGTAGTTGGGGGGCTATCAGAGTAATCTCAGGGGTTGTAAGTTCGGCCTCCAATAAAAAATGCCCAAATCATTTCTGTTTAAGAGATAAGACGATTTTTTTGGAAATTTTCAGAAAACTCAAATTACAAAATAAGTTAAATTCCCAACCCTGTAGTTGTATACTTTCAAAGATTGCGAATATTGCCATAAAAAAGACTGCTCAAATTTCGGTAGTTTTTGAAATGTGAATTTTTTCTGGTTTTCAAAAAAATACTTCTTAAGGTGAAGTTTCTCAAAATTTGAATTTTCCAACGTTGTATTTGGGTGTTGTGAGGGTACTCTCAGGAGTTGCAAATCTTGCATCCAAATGCGACTGCTCAATTGCTTTCAGTTTCCCAGATGTGACGTTTCTTAATTCATTATAAACTTAGATATAAAAAAATGTCACAAATGTTTATGGTTTTTCAAAATTTGGATTAAAAAATTGAATGAAAAATTTTACAAAATTTTAAGTTACTCTCAGGAGTTGCAAATCTTGCGTCCAAATGCGACTGCTCAATTGCTTTCAGTTTCCCAGATGTGACGTTTCTTAGTTCATTTTAGTTTTTTCGAAGATTTTATATAAAACTTCACAAAATTTTATGGTTCTGAGAAATTTGTCTAAAAAAATTGAATAAAAAACTTTGCAAAATTTTAATTACGAACCCTGTAATTGGGTGCTGTCAGAGTACACTCAAAGAATAGTTTTTTGAGTTCTTGAAAATTTGAAGCACCGGAGGTGCGGTACACGCTAGTTCATTTTTATAGCTTATTTTCGTTTTCTCGCTTTGTTTGCAAGCGCGGCTTCACCTCTGTGTCAGAAATTTTATCTCTCAGTTTATTTAACAAAAGTTTAAAATGCGCAATATGACTTCTATAAGCGTCAGTACCACAATTTATATACGGCGGTGAACTGGAAAACAGGGCTCTTTTTTCAAAACTCATTAGTTTTTTCATCTTTTCCTATTTTTTGACCTTTTTAAACTTTCTTTTGTTTTTTAAACCTTCTTTTTGATGTTTTTTGCATGTGTTTGGCAAGTGCTGCTTCGGCTTTGTAGTTTTTAAGGGTCGATTAACGTAATTCGGATTCTTATATAGGTCGCGATGACTTTGTTTCAGGAAGAGTCTTGAAGTTTGTTCAGACTCAAATTACTTTTTCGCGGCCCGACTTCTGATTTCTTTTCAAGTTCATTTTTTTTGCTTAAAGGAAGGCAAACTCCACTATTGAACAGTAAAAGGTTAAGATCATAAAAACACGATTAACTTCTTTTTTCGAAAATAGAATTTATTTTTTCAGATTTCGCAGCGAAATTAAAAGTTTACCTATTAATCCAGTTTTCTCAAATTGGGTTAATTTTATCAAAACAAATTCAATCATAAATTTGTTTCTTCGAATTGTTCTTGAAATTGAAAGAGCTTTTAAGCTATCTATCTTTTCAAATACCGAGGGCTGGGATCTTTGAAAAAAAAAACAAATGTGTTTTTTTTGTTTACTTGCGTTTATTGACTCTTTACCAAGAGTCTGTTGGCTATGTTTGAAGTTTACAGCGGAATATAAAATTTAACGATAGATTCAGGTTTCTCAAATTGGGTTAATTTTATCAAAAATTGTCGATAATAAATTGTTGCAATTCAAAGAGTTTTTTTATTTGTTTATTCGAAAGTTGAAAATTGTTTGATTCATTTTTTGGGTTTTCTTAGTTTTTGTTCACTTTTACCATCTTCCGTTGGCTATAATTTTAATACATTTCTGGAAAATTCTTTTCTGGAAATCACACTGAAATTTTGGCAATTTGCTGAAATATATCTAAATTACAGGCGATTATGACATGCGGTTGTATTACTGCTAAAAGACCAATAAGAAATATCCAGTGCTCCATTTTATGCAATTTGATAAATTCTGTCTATTTTTTGAAATGCTTCGGTTTAGCTTAACGCATAAAATGTCGATGAACGCTGTGAAAGCATTTATATAGATCGTGGTACTTTTTTTTTAAAAGTTCTAAAATTTGTTAATGCTCCAAATTTTACTCATATCTTTTGTTATTTCCACTTCTTTCAAATTGCGTAATTTCCACAATTTTATCAAAACTTGATCCATCATAAATTGTTCTTCAAATTCAAAAAGCTTTAAAATTATATAACTTTTAATTTAAAGTTTGAAAGTTGAAGTTGTTCAAAAAAATCAGTGTATGGAAACAGGCGATTCAAAGAAATAGCTAATTTTTTGTTTCATTGAAGGTTTGTGCTCGGTCTGGTGTTTTATGCGCTTAATATTCGACTTTCTAACCGGTGTTTCTAAATGGATTTTTCATAGCATCTGGAAGGAAGCTATCAATGCACTGAGCTGAAAATTCAAAAGATGTTCCACTTGCGTTGATTTTGTAAAGTTATGGGGGTTTGAAATTGACTATTTTACTAATTTCTTTGCTTAGTTCTCAAAACATCAGGTAGGTACAACTAAGACACGTTGTACTGGGTGATACAAGATGGATTAAAGATGTTACAAATTAATACCTGCAAAATTTGGGTCTGTTTGTATCTGGTGCCACTTTTGTTGCATAGCATTGGCAATTTCTTAGCATATGCAGCTGCTGTAATTTTGGCTAGTCTTTTTACTTGCGAAGCGTGTGTATTAGTACGAACCTTCTTTCCAACGTAACTCGCAAATATTGGTGCCTTTTTTAGGGCACATTTACTGCTTTTTCATAGCATGTCGAATAGTAATAACTTAACTTATTTAGTGCTTTTTTAATTACTCAAATGAACAGAAAAAAAATGATTTGTTTCAAATAACATTATATCTTGCAGTTTTTGAAATGCATAATTTATACATAATGTGGCTTTATGTTTTGCGATTTGTTATAAACAAAGTTAGTATGGATGCCTTCAATGTGTTATATTCCAAATTTTTACTTGCAAAATTGAGTCTATTTGTATTTGGTGCCACTTTTGCTGAATCGATTTGGCAATTAATTAGCATATTTAGCTGCTATGTTGGTGACAAGTATTTGTCGGTTGTTAAGCTTGCGTGGCTGAGTGGATAGTGCGTGAGACTCGAAATCTCTTCATTGCAGGTCGCAGATTCGAATCCTATAGGTAGCCGAATTTTTGCTAATTCGAGGCTAATTTCTACTTTTTCTTGTTTCACTTGATAGAGCTGCTTTTTGGTCGTGTTCTCGCAAGTGTTTGCGAAGCATAGCTTCGCCTCTGTGTTCTAAATTGTCAAGGGCCCAAGCGCAGATGCGAGGACAGGGGACTCTAAATTTCCCTATCGCTCGATCGAATCCGCCACAGCAGACTATTTAATTTTCAAGGCTTATTTTTACCTTTCCTTTATTTCACTGTATAGAGCCGCTTTTTGTTGTTTTCTTGCGAGTGTTTGCAAAGCGCAGCTTTGCCTCTGTGTTAAAACACTAGTGCAATATCTTTCCTAGATCGTTCAACCAAAACAAATTACAAAGAAAAAATTGCGTGTTAGTGCGAAGACTTTATGAAATGGTGTGTTTTGTTTGATCTGTCACACATGTATTTCGTACCAGATAAGCAACAGCTTATATTGCACCTCGAAATTTGTTCACATCTCGACACTGCATGTCTCGATTTATTCACAAAGTTTCTCGATGCAGTGTATAGCTGTTGCTTATCTACTACCTAAGAATTAGGTAATTTGCGTTCTCCTAATACGAATTTGGAAGTGGAGCGAAAAAATGTGAACAACTTATTGTTTCGAAAGTGAATTTTAAATTTAATATTTCCCTGCGAAATCAAATTTTCAAATTTTGCTTTTTGATCCATTTTTCTCATATTGAGTTTATTTGATCAAGAAATGTCAATCATAAACTAGTATTGAAATTCAAAGAGCTGTAAAGCCAGGTATTATTTAGTTTGAAATTCTGAAGTTTTTTCAAATACTTAAAAAGTCAGTTTTTCATTTTTTTGCGTTCATTGACTCCTTTCCATATGTGTGTTGGCTATGTTATTTTTTTTGCAGCAATAACTGTTCAGGCTCTTTGCAACTTGTACGGCAAGCAGCTTTTCTGGCTTTGACTGTGCTTTCGACTTAACCAATAAATTTAAGCAACAATTCGTATACTCTGAAAATTTGATTCAGTTTAATGTTAAGTATTGTTTATTTTTTTGACAATTTCAATCCTATTACTAGTTAGTTAAAATTCAACTGCGGCCACTTCAAACCTAATACCAATTAAAGCTAAATTTACGTTTAACAGTTGTTGATGACGGTGTATTCGGTAAATTCAAGATGACGGTGTTAAGCTATTTGACTATGATGATGATGATGATGATGATGACGATGATCGTGTTGTTTTTAGCATCAATTGTAATGAAAAGAAAACTATATTTGTTTACTATTTGCTAGGGGTACTTTTTGTAAACCATAATGTGGTTAATTTTACGAGTACTTTGGCATAGTATCATTGTATGAATGAGTTGGTAACTTTAGAGAGCCCTCCTTCCCCTCGATCAGTTAATTGTTGTGGCAACTGCCACCGACCCCTGCATGCCTCATATGTAGGTAGCAACAAAGAGGAGGAGGAAGAGGAGATTTATTTTTCCTCCCTTGAGGACCAAATCTACGACACCGCTGGTACCAGCTGTGAGTATATCATCTGAGAGGGGGCCCCTCTAGCTTCCCCCTCCCCTCCCCTTCCCCAACTCTCTTTCTCACCCTCTCGCTCTTTCCATTTGCTCTGACATCGTGTTGTCTGCAATGATGAATCTGTAGTCCTGTTTTCGTCTTTGTTATTCTACTATCCTATTGTACATATTAACTAAATGACACATCTTAACTAAACTTTATCTTGGTTGAATACATAAATAGTGGTAAACTAACTGTTTTGACAAAGTAGTGATGATGTCAATCAATAGAAGTTGACTGACTCTCAAAATGACATTTCTTAATATCCTTAAATGATTCGGAGAATAGTTGATTTGAAGTCATGTTAGAAATAAGTAGTCCTGCCTCAAAATAAAAAAAATTTAAAAATCGGTTTAACGAAAAGTAACAGGTTATTAACTTGAAAGGCTGGAAAAACTTTGAATTGCAAATAGGAAAATATTTTCAGCGGCATTGATCGCTAGATTTAAATGGTTTAGGGGGTTGGGCTAGGAAACATTTATGATAATCCACAAGTGGCCTGAGCAACAGTTTTTGACGGAGGGGTGGTTTTTTGAAAAATTGATGGCCTTTTTTAGGCTAGCCATTTGGAAAATTTTGAGCCCTGCTGAAACCCTAAAATGGCCACGGTTAGCAAAACTTTTTGCGCAGCAGGCGATTTTTTTGGCAGTAACTGACTCATAAAATAGTACTTAAGGACCCAAAGATTTGGCAAAAGAGTTTATAGTGTTAAAAGTTATTCTCACGCAACATAGAAGCTGTTTGGTTGGTGGAGGTCGGCCATGAAAAAGGAATTTGGACACAATTTGTCTTGGGTTTAAAGGAGCACTTAAATTGAACTGTTTCTGTTCATTGGATGGTATTCGGGGAAAATTTCACTCTAATCACCAATCTCCAGAAGAGGATATAGTTTGGATATTTGCATGTCAATTTTAGCAAAAGAAGAATTCAACAAGGGTCCGAGTCAGGGCTCGCTGAGACACAGGGGCGTGGGAGGCAGACATTTGAACCCAGACGATTTGGTAAGCGATGGAAGACAGTCGGCGATTGGGCCCAGCTGGAGGAGGGTAGCAGCTCAGATAGGGGAGGGACTAGCGACTAGTTCAAGGTCACCACATATCAGGGAGAACACGTCGGCCACTTCGCTAAGCTACTTTCAAGGTTTTGATTTTTTTTAAATTAAACTATTGGTGCTAGCTGAAAACTATTAGTTCTTTGGCTTGTTGTTCTTTCAATTTCCCATTTTCAAGTCTCATGCGCGCGCAGATTCTACTTGGCTCGTTGTGTAGTCTTATAGTGTCGTTTCGATATTTCTAAGTCCATATTCAAATTAAAATAAAAAAAATTGTTTTAACTGCATTAACATTTTTGCTCTTACTGAAGAAGCATTGCAGATTGTTTAAACCAGCCGAAGTATAACCAGCTACCATATAATCCAGCCGAAAATACGGAGCTGTTACATGATAATAATGTAACAATTATGTAACCGTTACAAGTTGTTACTCGAATGACGTAATTTTCGCCTAGCTCATGTTTGTTTGGCTGGTTGATATATTCTGCTACATTTTGGCTGATAAGCACCCGTTGCAGATAATATGTTATGAATTCCTCTTATGGTGAATGGTGTCATTTTTTTTATCTCTGAGTTCGACGGTTTTTAAGTCTTACCAGTCAAAATCAGTTACATTTATGGAGAAGCAAATGGTTTTCCTCTATGCTAGTCGCAACTCAGCGACAGTAGCTACATCTTCTCTGCACTGTTTGTTAATCTTTCTAACTACATCCAGCTGTTTTGCAACATGATAAGAAATACTATGATTAATTAAGTTGCTCTGTTGAATATGGATAAGCTGCTCACGTTGGCTTAGCTCGTCATGTTGAATGTGGTGTTAGCACGAATCAATTTACTATTGATGTTATTTAGAAACCCTAGTTGAAAGCTTTTCTTCAATCCTGCTTTAGACCCTTTCTTGCCGGGAGTTGACATGAAAGAAGCCCTGTTCAGTGGGTCGCTTGACAGCGGCAGATACCCTCCTTTTATGGAGACGAACATGTTCAAACCAGCTGGCAGAAAGTACAATAACACTGAAATGTCGTCTTCTGGGCCCTGTTGGCCACCTCCGGAGCGCAAGAAGCAGGAGTGCAAAACTGAAGATGCCAAATATTTGGACACTAGAGGCAAAGAATTCAGCAGTCAAGCGGAATCAGAGGCCAAACAGGAAAAGCAAAGTAAATTTTTCGACACCAATGGAGAAAAGATTATCAAGCAAATTCGATCTACGAGTGCTGAGAATCTGCTAATTGACAGTTCGTCTATTTGGAACAGCGACAACAACTTGGCAAATGAGTCCCAGTGGAATAAAACGTGGAATTCGAAACTGGCTCCGCTGCCTTTGCTGGCGCTGAACGAAACTGCCGAAGAGTCCAGTGATGAAATTGACGATAAGTTCACAAGGAAGACTTTTGGTTCGGACGCTGATATATCCAGCATTTGGAAAAGGGATTCGCTGCTCACTGATTCATCGCGCTGTGAGCTGAACAACTTTGGGCCTATAGGGTGGTATGATCAGGGAACCAGAATAGGAAGGAATTCTCTCTCGACTGACTTGAACATCTGGTGGAAGCCAGAGAATCACTTCATATCGCCACTGCCGTCCACTGAATGGGTGAGTTTCCTTCCCATTTTTTGACCAGGCTTTGAAAAGTAAAAATACAGTTGTTAACATCTGCGAAGCGTTGTGTCATATTACGATATCCACTTTCTCAAACCAAAACGCAAATACAAGTGTTCATTCGTTTTGCTGCAATAATATTATATCTGGTTTACTTTTGCTGCATACCATTATATGTTTATGTTTGGTTTATTGGCGGCCAGTGTTTAAGAGGCAATGAACGTAGTTCAGGAAAAAGTCTTATATTTCGTTCATGCTTAAATTTGATTTTTCGCAGTATGGTTTTTAATTTTTTCCGTTTTTTTTCTATGCAAAAGGAAAGAAAACTCAACTAGCGAACAGTAATAGTATTTTCTTTCTGTTAATTTGAGTTCATTGATTTTTTCCAACTGTCTGTTTGCTATGTTTTCCTGATAGTAGTTTCGAGCAAAATAAGCGAGCGAGAAGATAGTGTAAAGCATTAAAAAATATATTTTCTTCGCTGGTATAGGCGGCGTGCTGCTTCGCCTGTGTAAATTTTATTTTTGAGGCGCCATAGGTGTAGGGTTCGCCCTTTTCCCAATCCATCTAATCTGTTGCGTCCCAGTAAAATTATGCTTCTTCACTGCGTCAAATTATGCTTCAGCCGGTGCGTCGGAGTCATTTGCCAGTGGCTCCATTCAACGAAGAAGACGAAGATAACACAAGACAGTCAGGAGATGATGAGACAATAGACAAACGGGGCAAAAACAGAGTCGCCGATAAAAAGGATGGAAGCAAAGATAGGTTGCCGCAGAAATGAAGAATAGCAAAACTACAATTAACTAAAAAGAGAAAAAGATAGCAAAACGATATTAAAAGCAGCGCTAGAGACGTTTGTCTTTATTAAAGAAATTAGTCTGTGACGTTAATGCAATGTTTTGTCTCGTCCTAAAAAGAATTGTAAAAAGCCCTAATAAAAGTCGACTTTAGTCAAAACTAGGCTGAAACTGGTTTTAAAACTCCCCTTTAATTAACTGATGGCTGTTTGAATTTTTTTATTACAAGGAAGTCAATTTCTAACTACCACTTGTTACACATAAAGTTGAGTTTATGGGGGAAAGGACTCTAAGGTGCATTAGTTTCAACTTAATCAAATTTCCGTAAATCAAAAAGAGTGCTCTTTTAAAACTTAGTTTCTCGTAAAAATCAAGTCTTCCAAATGTCACTGAGCTCATAAACAAAACAAAACTTATTGCGCGTGCTTAAGTGATTGCGCTTAAGAAGTTTCAGGAGTCAAGAAGAATAATGAAGAAACTAAAATAATGAAGAAACTACTGAAGTTTATGGTAGGAGTGATTAAAGTAAATGATTCTCAAATGTCACAGACTCCATTTGTACACTTAGTACAGTGCTCTTTCATTTGTTCTATTTGAGCTACATTTCACTCTACATATCACAATACAAACACTACCAAAATATGTAATCTCTTTTTTCTCGTGTGATATTAATAAATTTTCTACCAAACCTATGCGTTGTTAAATGCCACAAACCTGTTTGAAGATGTACATTGCCATGGTTTTTGAACGTTGATGTCTAATCTCATCCAATCAAATAACTAATGAGTGTTTAATAAATAGATGCAAAAATGTCATGAAACTAACTATGTCAATTATTGTCGCAATCTTGAAATATTGGTCCGATATCTGACAGTTCATAACCATCTGAAAAATTGAAAGCTAATTCAATATCTTGCTTCCTCTGTTTTTTTTCTTTCTGAACTTGGCCCAAAAGTCAAATTCTTTCATTAGATGTGCAATTAAAGATCCGAGCCTGAAGAAGGTTTGCAGATGCTCTGAAGAAGGTTTGCAGATGTCTAAAGAAGCAAATTTGGATCCACAGATCACAAATTACTCGCGATTGATGAGTTGGTTTACTTGAAGATCGATTGATTAGTTTGAAGCATTTAGATTGCTTCAGACAACTGGATTCATTAAGAGTCGATGAATAGTGTTCAGATTCTTATATAGGTCGCGATGATTTTCTTTTCAGGGAAAGTCAAAGTTTGTTCAGGCTCATTCACTTTTTTCGCGGTTTGATTTTTTGTTTCTTTTAAGTTCTTATCATTTTCTTTGTTAAAAAGAAGGCAAACTCCACTATCGAACAACGAAAGAGTGAAGGTCACGAAAAACATGACCTTCACTCTTACGAAAAAACAGAGTTTACTTATCAGATTTCCCAGCGAAATTTTTTTTACCGTTTGATGAAGTTTTCTCAAACTGTTCTCCTTTTATCGGAAAAGTATCGATCGTAAATAGATCAAAAAATTCCAAGAGTTTCAAGGTCGCAACTTTTTTTTCAAGTAAATTCGAAAATTGTGATGTTTACGCGCGTTCATTGACTCTTTTCCAACTGTCTGTTGGCTATCCTTTGAAAGCCAATTATTGCCAGTCCATGCAGGACACTAATTACTTTTTAAGTCATGTTCGTTTTAGAAAACTTCTTAATTGCTCACGCTCAAACCTTTGTTTTGCGGTTTGATTTTTGATTTATATTTGAACACCTTTCAATTTGTTTTGCCAAGTGGTACAAAAATTACGCTCTCCAATCGCAAATGGCTCGAAGCAACCAAGAAAGGGCTTAAAGCTTGAACGTGATTGTTTTCATTCTTTGAAAAGTTGAAAAAAAAAATTTTGAGCTCAAGAGTGTCAATATCTTTCAAAATGCCGAAGAAATTTCGAAACTTGTCAGTAAAAAAACACCCCTAGCAAAAATATACTAAGGCACGGAGTGATAGGCTATATGAGCTAAATTGAAGTATGTTCGTTTGCTCTTATCTATGATGTGGAGCGTATAGGATCTACCAATTAATACAACTTCTGAAGAGTTTACATAATCATTCCAAAGTGAGTTGGGGCGAACAAATCGCTGCCATATTTTTCCTACAAGACTCGATCATATTTTCTACCATTCAATGATCCTATATCGGAAGAATACCACGGACTTGACACCCTCAAACTTGTTACATTTTTGGCGAATTCATGGTGGTTTGAAAATTGCCTATTGATCTAGTTGGGATAAACAGTCCGCGCTGATTACCTGTTTTTTTGTTTAAAACAAGCAGTGTAAAAAGCATATTACTCCGGCTCAAAAATCATTTCTAGATGTTCAAATATTGCGTTTCTATGTGAGCAGTAAGCATTTTGTTGAAAAAAATTTGAAAATTTGAATAAACTTTATTAAAGTCTGCAATAAGCAGGGGTTTTGCAATCGGGTATTAGACATTTTCCCGTCCAGAATTTTGTTCCCAGAATAGTCCCAATTAGAAATTGTTAATTCAAGTTTAGCTCATTAAATTCAAAATTTTTTGCGTCTCCGGCATACTTGGCCTGGAGGTAACAAATACGCCTGGAACTTCAGAGCTCTTGGGTTTGAAATTGGCAGATCCTGTTTTTTTCTTTTTTCAATCAGGAAACTTTCCGTTTGAACAAAATTGTCGGCTTGTTATTTTTCTGGATATGTTTTTTCAGCTTAGTTGCCACATCGTAAAACTATTTTTTTTCTGCTCGACGCAACTTTCATTGTAGTTGCTTTAAGTGTTTGATTTTTTTTCTGCTATTTGTAATTTTACTAAATTTCGAATACTTTCTTTTTTGCTTTCAAAAAAACATCTGCTTCTTTTTTGGGCTTAGTGATCTGTTTTTGATTAATTTCTAGAAAAAATAAAGTTTTTGCTCTCCTTTGGATTGCACAAAATCACAGAATTCTTAATTTATTATGACACTATTTTCGAATTTTTGATTTTTCTTTTCCTTTTTTTTGCTCGATACCTTTCAGCCTCTATAAAATCGGCATAATGGTTTTATACTGCGTTTTTTGACTAGCAAAAAAATTTTACGCGCCTGTGTATGTTTTGAAGGCGAGGGAGACTTGATAATTTTTTATAAGCCAAAATATTTTTTTAAAAACTTTTCTTAGTTTTTTTCGGCCTAATAGGTTTCGGCCTACATTATATCGGCTTAGTGACCTCATACTGTTTTATTCGAAGAACAAATAAAGTTTCGTTAATGTGTGTATGTGATTTGAGTGTGAGTGAAATACGTTTTTAAGTATTAAGTTCTGTTGATTTTTTTTTGGCTTAAAAGGTTTCTGCTAAAATATTTTCGGCTTTTGAACCGCTTGATAAATTTTTTTTCGATTATATTTCAACATTCAGTTGTCTTGGCATGTTTTTGTTTAAAAACTAAACTCATTCATTTTTTCCGACTTTCTTGTTTTGTATCGCAAGTGGTGCGAAGCGTAGCGGCTTTCTTATTTTGTATCGCAAGTGGTGCGAAGCGCGGTTTCGCCTTTGTGTTCAATTTCACATATGAACCAAAACAAAAAGTATTTCGGATACCTTGAGGAGCATTCGGAATTCATAGCTGTTCCCTAATACGAGTGTTTGAGTCACTTTTTGAAGCTGTTCCCTAATACGAATGTTTGAGTCATTTTTTGAGGTTGATTTTTTTCTGTTATTTTTCTGTGCCTTATATTTCTGTGCTTCGGTCCAGAAAAATTTGTGTGGTTTGGTTTTCTTTTTGTTTTATCTGGTTCGTTTAAAGTTCATTTTGCGGCTTCTTGCGTGTTTGCGAAATGCATTTTTGCCCTCGTGTTTCAGTTTTCCCTGAGTTCAACAATCCGGTATTTGATAGTTTTGTTGCTATATGTGACGTCAAAGTTGCTCGAAGCTGTCAAGGACGTGAGTGATTTATCTGAGCGTTAAATGTGATTGTTTTTGTCTTCTCTGCTATAAATTTTTTATATTTTTGCTCAAAATGAAAATTAAAATAAAATATTTTTTTCAAGTTTCCAATTTGAGCTGCAAAAATAGGTTAAACTGTAAATGGGTTTTGTTGTTTTTGGCACTGTATGTGGTGTCTATTCAGCTGACTATGCTGGCACTTAGGCTCTTGATCTTCTCAAACTGGGTCGTCTCCCAACTCTTCTGCTGTGCTTTGAGTATTTTCGCGCTCTGTTCGGCTCTCAGCTCTACCAGTTTCTCTTTCTCATCTAGTTTCCGGTCGTTGTTTTTCTTCGCGTGGTCTATTTCGTTCTCGGCCGACAGATTGTGTTTCTCGTATTTGTTCTGTCGTTGTTCGATTTCTTTCTCCTTTTTAGAAATCTAAAGGCAGAAAAGATTTGATGGGCTATGCTATAAAACAGCGGCGGATCTAGGACTTTCGAGAGAGGGGGGCAGGCGGATTTTCAAAAAAGGCCAAAAATTGGTTTTTTAAGCATTTTTTGGGAAAATTTCACCAAAAAATTGCGTTTTTCGGCTTGCGCTCCCCCTTGAAAATTAGTATACATAAGCGCCCAAGGCGCCTTTATAAAATTTTTAGGGTCCGTCACCAAAAAAGGATATCTCAAAACAGTACAAAGGGGGACCCTTTGGGTCGGCAGGGGTCGAATCCCTGAGGAAAGGTGTCTGTCCAACCGCCCGCCCTTAAATCTGCCCCTGCTAAAAGATATTCGCCAGAAAATTTGAAGCAGCAATTCAAACTTTGGGTCGTAGTTTGTTTAATTAGTTTTTCGCCAATGATTTTTTCTAACGTTTTTTGTCAAAAGGTCAATTTAGCGCGATTTGAACCTTGAGCTAAAGGAAAAAGTGATTGCATAAAAAGAAAAGACACATGATGCTGAACTATATATTTCAACGAGCTGAACTTTAAAAAAACATCCACTAATTTTTTTCTCGAAAATTTGATCTTTGCGACTAACTAAACATTTCTTATCAAAAATAAATGCTCAGTTTTTGTAAGGGTTTGGTAAGGTTTGCCGTTGTGATTAGTAGCGTTGTGTTTTTTCTATACTTGACCTCGACTTTGAGTTTGTCCCTCATCCGGTTGTTCATGGCTTCGTCTGTCTGGCGCTTCTCCTCCAGCAGTCTGGCTGCCAACTGAGCATTCTCCTCCTTCACTTTGTTCTCCAGACTCACCTGGCTCTTCAGCAACTCAATCTCGTGTCTCATCTGGTCCAGCCTATCCTTCTCCATATCTGGAAAAGTGCGAAATAAGCTTATATATTAGACTAGGGGACACATTTAAGCCTCTCTTACTCCCCCCCCCTCCACACTCACACATTCGACAAAAACAAGTTATGCAATTCTAAGGGGATATAATAGAAATTGCGACACATTTAAGACTATTTTAACGTCCCCTCTTATTGTGGACAAAACTTAATTTTACAAGGTGGTATATGTTCAGCAGATGTGTGGAAAAATAATTAATTACCATGCATGTCAAATTTCGATACTTGGGCAAGATAACACAAAAATTATTTAGTAAAAAGAGGGGTAAAAGGGCCTAGTTTTGCTAGTTGTTAAGAGCGGCATGAATTTCACAGCATTTGTACCTTATGCAGGGGCGGATCTAAGATTTTCTCGAGAGGGGGGGGGGCGGATTTTCAAAAATTTTCGAAAATTTTGTTAACTTTTTTAGGTCGACTAAATTGGTTTTCCGAGCTCTCCCAAACCATTAAAAAACCCTGGTTTGGCCAATTTTTGTGCCCCGCTGGCAAAATTAAAAAAAAAACTGGCCAAAAAAAAACTTTTTTAACCAGTTTTTGGGAAATTTTACCAAAAGATGGCGTTTTTTCGGCGCGCGCTCCCCCCTTATTGGCGTCAAAAGCGCCTTTAGAACATTTTTGTAGTCCGTCACCAAAAATGGAAATCTCAAAATTTTACAAAGGGGGACTTAAACTTGTTTCGGATGTTTTTTATGAATAAAAATTTTGCTAAAACTAAATTTTTTTTTGTTATTCCACCCCGTAGCCAATATTAGTTTTTTTATTTATACGTCTAGCTCCCATGAGCATCAATTTCATGGTGCAACGTGTGGTTTTAGAAGGTTAACTATGAGGACTAAAAAGGTTTGGAATACCTTAATTAGTTAGCACGCCATTTCTTATAACAATTGGACGACGCGAAAAATTTCGGCAAGAGTTGACAGGGGAAGTAAGAAGACCAGCAATTTCAAGTAGCTTGTATGAAGGTAAATATATTTTTTCTAATTCACTTCAAAAATTTCATTTCGAAAATTTTGTCAGCCTTTTTTTTAAGATCCACCAAATCAATTTTCCGAGCGGTTCCAAAACACTTTGAAGACAACATTTATACCAATAATTTAGCGCCGGAGGCAAATTTTTAAAAAGCGGGTTAACATGCTGTTTTGGGCACTTTTTGGAAAATTTTGACCAAAAAAACGGCCTTTTTTGACGCGCGCTCCCCTTCATTATTAAAATATATTATCACCGCAGGCGCCTTTTCGCCAAAGAAAAACTATAGGGTTGGTCAGACTAAAATGGATGTCCTAAAATAATACCATTTGGTGAACCTTCTGTTTGGTGAGAGAGTCGAATGACTGAAAGGCGGTGAGAAAAAGACGTCCGTCAACCCCCCGCCCCCCTAAATCCGCCTCTAACACACTGCATCATTTTTTTTTGAATTCTATGAAAATTGTCAGCAAAAGCCTTCAGTTAGAAAATCGAGATCGTCTGGAGAAAAATAATCTACGCCAAGCACAAAACAAAAATTCGGTCATGTATTTTCAAAGGATGGAAAAAAACCCTGCTAGGCCAAAACTGCTTTTATAAAAATCTAGATTTTTCACCCGCAAGTAGACCTTTTTCAGTTTCGTCTTAGAGTTTTTCTGAAGTTTGATCATCAATAGTCTATTTAGTAGTTTTAATGACTTACACTGCAATACAACGTGTCAGCATGATCAGCTGATGATTTTTGTTTATGTGCATTACATGCGAACACCCGTATTAGACTTTTAAATAAATTTCATGCTGACGAAATCGGCCAAAAGATGCTTCAGAAAGCCGAACAGTTGTGAATTGTATCTCGTTCTATTATTTAAAAACATTGATTTTTTTGGGTATTTTTAGGCTTTTTCTTTACCAAAAAAATAATGATTCAACGCCTCGGGAAAACAACACTACAATTAGCCTAGTAATTCAAGTTAAATTCCACAAAATTATCAGAAAAAATCCAGTTGTCAAGAAAATCATGATTAAAACTGTTCAAACTGCCTGACTATACATAAAATCTGGGTAGTTTTGAAAACTAAATGTATAAAGATAGCTCTGATCCGTAAATTTAAAGATTGATGATTTGTTAATGCGCCTCTTGCTTTGTTTTTGTCTCTTGCTTTATGCCTCTTGCTTAACTTTTGTGAACAAGTCTGACTATTTGCGAGTTTATCCAAATCTTGTTTGCTGAGAAGTAGTTTTAGTGCGTTTCCAATTGTATCACCATGTATAAACTTGCTTATAAACTTCAAAATTGAATAGCAATTCAAGCTTCGCATCGAAAATAATTTATGTTGAATAATAATGTTTTTTTTTTCACTGAAATTGTTTCCTAGGAAACATTATCTGAACTAACTTAAGGCGTATAAACTTCAAATCATTAATCTCAGTCTTACTTAATGTTCCGTATAGCAGAAAACAGTTTGCTATTATGAGTTATACGCTTCTTATGTATGCTCTCACTCTAGTTGTTTAAAATTCAATGTTTTTCTTAGTTGACACAATTTTCCTGAGAAAACGCCGAAATTTTCTTGATTGCTTCTATGTTCACTTCTAAGTTCAACTTGCTTCCTAAGTACACTCCTCAGTATTTAAAAAGTTAAACGATTTCTGTGTATTTCAAAATTATTTTGACAACAACACATTTTTTTAATCTGGATTTTGAGAAGTTAAAATTTTCTTTTTCGTCAATGTTAAGGTATAGCTTGCTTTCAAATAACTAGTTGCTCATTCAATTCAGCACTCAACACATGTCATTGTCTTGATGTTTTATCAAAGCCCTATCGTCCACATAAAGATTACTATGAAGAGGGCTGCAACAAGTATCAATATCGTTCATGTAAATTATGAAGAATAGGGGACCGAAACTAGAGCCTTGAGCAACTCTAAACTCAATAATTTCAATTTCGGAAGTGAACTGACTTCTTTGAATTCAATAGGATTCAATTAAATCAATCAAACTCCCTCTAACTCCAAAATTGTGTAGATTTTGCAATAAAATAGAATTCTCCAACGCTTTTCTATCAAATGCTTATTGTATCAAAGAAAATAGCATTGACGTTTAAATAAAGACTTTACCTAAAAAAGAAGAATTGAAGTGGGTCTAAAATTTCCCGCTTGTGAGAGACCAAAGTTTTTGTTGACTGGAATTACTTTAGCCAACTAAAGAATGAAGTGCATTATACAAAAAATCAGAATAATTGTTAGAGCCTGTACTGTACCAAACTTCAGATTTTTCAAAACAAACCTATTGAAATCATACGCGTCTTTGCAGAATTTGTTGGGAAAACAGTTTCTAATGTTTGATACTTCAATTTCACTAGTTTTTTCCAAAGGGTAAAAAAAGAAAAAATTATTGGAAGAACGAATTCTTGGGAGAGAGTGTCCGCTTCATTAAAACTACTCATTTTTGGTATACGTAATACACTCGTTACTCGTTAGAGCAAGTTTCCTCAAACTTGCAGCTGGATTTCAAATTACACTATATGTATAATAGAAATTTATTTATGAGGGGTTGGTGTTGTGGATGAGTGCAAGACAAGAGTTTTGTTACAAAGAGTTTATTGAGATCGATGTTTGCCTAAAAGTTAGTTGCTCTTCATAGTTGTTATCAGTGGGAAAAGTGTACATAAAAACAAGATATGTCATGAGGGATAAAATTTCTTTGTTTAAATGTTCCAATTTTTGTTGATTTTTTTTTAGCAAAAGTACATTTGACATACATAGCATCGTAGTCATGGATAATATTGGCTACTTATCACGGTTGATACAGTGTGGCAATTGGTTAAAATCAACTGACAGATAAAAAGGAGACACCAAAAAAATATAGAATTGCTTCTGAACCAAATACGCTTCAACAGATCAGGTAAATTCGTATGTTCATTCTCTTCAAGTTGAATTGTTAGAATCTTATATTGGATGATATCTCAGCTCATCACATCTTTGCTCTTTCTATGAGGAGAGCTTTCGGTATAGGATTTCCATAGTGTTTTGTTGGTTTCCGAAATCTTAAAGCTCATTTGGGTTTGTCTGAAACTGGTTCAGATCAATCTTCTGGAGTTGGTGAAGCTTGTCCTTCATTTTCAAGTTGCACTGGAATTTCATCATCGACAATGTCACTCGTTCCCTCTGTGGCATTGGTCTCTTGACTGCATCTCGCAATCTGGTTGTCGATTTACAAGAACACTCCGTTCTGATTGATTGGGTTGGATCCACGATGTGCTGGCTCCACGTCGAATGAGGAAAGTTGCATGCTGTGCTTCCCTGTCTTTGTTCAGCTTGAAGAGATTTTTTCTACTTACGTCAAAATCTATGATGGTTGTAATCTGATTTTTTGTCCAAGAACAAGTTCCCCTGGCGTTTTTGCCTTCGCTTTGGACGTGTTTCTATGCGTAATTAGTACTTGTTGCAGAAACGGAAAAAAATTGACAGATGAGTTTTCTCTGCATGCCTTCACGGCATGCTCAACCGTCTGCACTGCTTTTTCTGCTAGTCCATTTGCTCTTGGCTGGTACATCGTTGATCCTATTTTGTGATTTCCTTGAGACTTGCTGCATATTTTGAAGTCATCGGTCACAAAATGTGTCCGTTGTCAGAGACTACAATTTCTGGTAATCCAAATCTTGCTAAGACTGTCGACAGACTTTTCTCGATAGTTAAAGTAGTTTTGTCATCGGTCGAGAATGTTTCGATCCAGCCAGTTTCGGTATCAACAACAACAAATCTCTTACTTTGCACCGATCCGCAACCAGTCCATTAAGTTCTATTTGATGGTAAGCGTCTAAGATTTCAACTTTGCTGAACAAGTTAGCTTCCTTCAGATTGCGGAAAATTGTCTCCAAGTCGTTTAATGGTTGTCTTTGTCCAATACGTTGCCATTGATGTGAACTTTGTATTCGGCGCAAAGTCTGAATTCATCATTTTTCTTTCTCCGGGCCGAACTGGCTCGAGGACTCACTACCTGACCATATCCTTTAGCTTTGCTTCTTGTACCGGCAACGGAATTTTGCGTTCTTTGCAGAAGAGTGGTTAGAACTCCAGACTTCAGTTTCACCTGGGCCTTTTATCTTTTGACTCTCGATAATGTCCTTGAGAGCCCCTGTATCGCATGTATAGATTACTGGGTTGGTAAGAGATTGCGTCCAAATAGTCCAAAATCTTTGTTCAAGCGCGCAACTGCCAGTTGCAGCTTTGAGTAAATTCGACCATTCCATATCAGTTCACAAAGTATGCTTTTCCTTTAGAGCAGAATTTATGTCCAACGTATGGTTCTGGAGTCCGAGCAATTCCATCTAGGTTAGGTGTTTCAAGCTTCTCCTAGATGCTCGACGAAATCACTGTTGTATCAGCAGCTGTGTCCACTTGCATTTTCACCTCAGTACCATCAAGGATGACAGTTTCTCATGCGGTGGCCATCCCGATGAGACTTCGTGCAAAAAACACTCCTACTTTAGTGCGCTTCTCAGAGATTTTTAATTCCCCTTCTGGGAACCGACCCCCATCGTCATTGTGACTTACTCTTTTACTAAATCTACTATAACCTTTCTTGTTGTTGCTTAATTTACTTCGACACTTTTTTTGCATAGTGTCCTATCTTACCACATGATTTACTTTTCTTACCCGTTGAAGGACAAAACTTATCTCCGTGCGGTTTTCCTCCGCAGTTTGGACTTTCTGGTTCCTTGCCATTTTAAGCTTCATTGACATTTACTGGTTTTTTGAAGGTTAGATTAGAATTGTATGCAACGTTTTTTACTATTAACTTTAGATATCCCATCAAAAAACTGTGTTTGATTGCCAAACTGTAAAAAAAGTTTTCATATCAGTTAGACCTATGTCTGTTTTAATTCTACTTGCCTAAAGTAGCTTGAGATTAAAGTCTGCTGATCTTAGTCCTGCAATGAACTTTATTCGTATCATCCCTTCTTCCGCATCAGCTGTGCTTTGAAGTTCAGAAAAATTACAATACCGAGCAGTTTCACGAAGTCTTTCAAGAAAGTCGTCGTTAGACTCTTTTCGATTCTGAACTGCCGATAGGAACACGGCTCGTTCAGCAACAACTACTTGTTCTCTGACTCTGCAGTAGTCTCGTACCACATCGTGGATCTCATTGAACGTCATCTCGCAGAGGGTTTTTGGCGAAACAAGACTCCTCAACTTCAAGATTGCTTGCACTCATCCTTTACTGAGGAAGAAGTTCGTTATTCGAAGGTTTGCGGGATTCGCTCCTTCTGCATCCATGTTGCTTTGTCTTCTACGAGTGTGCTCTTCCAAGGAAAGCAACCAGCCAAGCCATTGCTTCTTCGAGTTTTGAAAGTTTCGAAAATGAAATGCTAGTGCTTTTCATTTCATGTTTCCAGTGTAAACACCACTGCTGTGGATCGGTGCAAGGCAAGAGATTTGTAATGAAGTATCTATTGATTTCGATGTTTGTGTTACTTCACTTGAAATTTAGTTTGTATTTATTGTTTTTATCAATGAGAAAATTATACATAAAACAATATATGTCATTAGGGATAAATATCTGTTTTCTTCGAATCTTTACCAAAAACATATTTGACATAAAAAGCATCGCCTTCATAGGTAGGGTTGATTATTATCTTAATTTAAAAATTTATATCTTGTATCCATTTGATTTTTTTCAATGAGCGACTCACTAATTATGAACAGAATGTTGAAGCTGCAGAGAAAAGGAAACGTAATTTTGGGTTTCTAACGCTAGTTTTTATCAACATAACTAGCATTTGTTTTGCTTCAATTGAATTTTGCTTAAGCTGGTTTTAATGATTCCAACACATTTTGAACCTTTTTTTGATTGCTTGAAAAAAATCTGGTAATTTTACTCCATATCGAAAATCACATCTGAAGGACTTTTTTATGAGATATCATGTGTCATCGCACTACGGCAGATTTGTGGTTGAGCAAAAAAAACACGCCTGAAGGACCCTTCACACCCACCCCCCCCCCCCAAAAAAAATTAAAGATTTTGTTGGGAGACGAATTGAGAGTGTTCTAAGCAACATTATGACTACCCATGAAATAGCAATAAGAGTACCTGTTGTTTTTAATAAATATGAATTATGACTAACTGAGTTTCCGCTTCTCATGTAGCAGTGCCTGTTCGCCGTCTCTGAGACCGGCTTCTCTGGTCTGGAGACTCTGGTCTGCCAACTCTGTCTTCCTCTGCTGGTTGATTCTCTCCTGCCTCAACACCTCCTGGTCCCTCTGTATGTAACTCCTCTCCATCTCACGCCGCTCTTCTATCTCTTTCAACATCTACACAGAAAGGGCAGCAGTCACTCATAGTTGACAGTGTATCTCCCAGGCGGTTTCAGTTAAGTTTTGTCAACATGTAATAAATTAGAAGCATTCTGTATAGGAGTTTTTTTAGTAAAAACGTTTTTACACCTTGCGGTTAAAACTTTTTTACATGATATTTTGTAGACTATAATACTTTTCATGGACATTGGAAATATTTCCTGATCATTTTGTTAGTGAGGTGCTTTTTTTGCGAAGTGCGAAGACTCAAAAAGCGTCTCTTCATGAACTAAAAAGAAATATCATGAAACTGCTCTAAAAATTGTCTTGGCATGCCCTATTTGGAATCTTTTGATATTCGCTTTACAAGTAAAAATTTCAAATATATCCGAATGTTTGATCCTGACAATTTTCTAAAATTGAAATTATAGAATTAAAAGCGAAAAACGAAAATACGAAAGTCAGAAATGACGAGAAAAGTAACGATGAAACAAAAAGTCATATTGCAATACGCGGTCAAACGCGCTCGTTGTTTGCGGCGAGAGGCAACAATTATCAATAAAAGGGGGGGTGCATCAAACAATTTTCAAAAATTTTGTCGACCTTTGTTTAGGTTTAGGTCCAGCAAATCGATTATGACAGCGCTGCAAGAACACTATAAGTAACTCATTTTGACAAAAGTTTGAGTGCCGCAGTCAAATTTTTTGAAAAAAGAACGAGTCAATTTGCGTTTTTTCGGCGCGCGCTCCCCTTCAAAGTTAGTATATACTGGCGGTGCCAAAGACGCTTTTAGAAAAGTTTTAGGTTTGGCCGGCCAACAATGGATGTCATTACACAAGCATACCTTGTGTTATAGTATGAACTATCTTTTTTTTTCCAACCTAAGTCGCAAATGTTGTTGCGACAAAATGTGTTAATTTTGAAAGTGTTCATTTTGATCAATAACCAGTTATTAAGTACACTGCTAAGGATATTAACCCTCTGTGTAAAATAATACCAGCAGGTGTCGAATCCCTGAAGAAAAACGCCAATCCCCCCTCCTAAATCCGTCCCTGTAATCTAATGATGGTTATTCCAATCTCTTTTAATCAAATCTACCTGTGCCCTGAGTCGATCGTTTTCCTCTTTCACACTGTCAATGTCCGTCTGTCTCTGAGTATGCACTGCCAACATCTCCCTCTTTTTGTGCTCCTCAAACTCCTGCTGACTTCGCAGCAGCTTCTTCTCCTTTTGATCTGATTAATCACGATTTTGGTATATTTCAATCATTTCAATCATTCCTTATTCTTAATATGTTGTTAGTTAGTTTTAAGGACAAGCGCGATGTTTCCACGCTGTTTCAGCATCACATCATGGACACTTTGCTTTCAATTCCCTACCTGTATCAAAAAGTAGATAACAACGTTACTATAATTGCGAAGTTTTTATTATAAGTTGATGTTGCGTTTTTCCCAGGACGGTAGTTTTCTAGCGGCTCGAGTGCTTCCTGTTTAGTTAAGCTTTCAATCAAAGTAATGATTTACACGCAAAGCAACACTAGGTGGATTTCTCAAAATTCCGATCTTCAAAAATTGTAACTATTTCAACTTTTCTTAGGCCGACAAAATTGAACTTGTGCTTTGTTTTTCTTGAATTGACTTTCTGTGAACTTACTCGGCAAAAAATGAGTTTAATCAAAATCTGCGATAAATCAAATTAAAAAATAAAATTAGTTTAATAAAAGTCTGCCCCTTAAGGTGGCGAGGTAATTGAATTCGTGAGAGAAGGAGATCTAGCTCCCCGCAGTAAATTTTGAAAATAATGTCGTTTTTCATATAAGTCGACATAACTAATTTTTCCGATCTCTCGAAACATCAAAAAAAATCTTTTTATATCAAAATATTTGGCTTTTTTGAATTGCTTCGACCAAAAAATTGAATTGTTTTGAGCGCGTGCTCTTCGTGGAAGTTTTATACATTGGTACCGAAAGTGCTCTAGAAAGTTTTAGGTTCGTTTGAACAAAAATGATGTGATTAAATATTACCAAAAGGGGTACTGTTAGTAGCAAAAGGGGTAAGATGTGATAATATAGTGCCAAAAGGGGTCGTCAAAAATAATACCAAAGGGGGAACTGAACTAACTGATGACTTTTTCTCTGGTGTCCAGGTCAGCGTGCCATCTGTTCAGTCTGTTCTGCTCTGTTTCATTCTTACTCCTCAAATCCTCCACCTCACTCTCCCGCTTCTTCAAGTCTCTCTTTCTGTCCTGCAACTGATTCTGCTCCTTCCGATGAACCTCAAAACAACAACAACAACATTTTATATAAATTGGAACTTTGTGGAAAGCTATACAAATGAATTGTGCCAAGTACATGGCGCATCTGCAAACAATGCAATACAACAGGAAAACTCATCTTAATACATCAGTGAGGTTTCATTCCCGAGAGCCATCCAAGAATCCAATTCTACTACGACTACTGCTACTATAAATGAAAAACTGAAGGCAATTTTGGTGGTTTTGGGCATATTAATTTGTCTAGAAAGATGGCGTGTGTGTTAATGAAATCTATTGGCATGGTTGTTACATGCAAAATTGAGTAAAAATTTGATCTCCGACGTATAAATGAGCAATTATGAGCAAATAACATTAACTTTTGGATTTTTTGACCAAAAACAAAAAAACATAATTGGCATAAATAGCTATATTTAGGAAGAAATTAGCAAAAAAATTTGGACCGACAATTTTTTTAAAAAAATATTGGCAAAACTTCAAATGGAAATAAATTTTAACGCACTTTATTGAAAGTGGCCTATTGATTCTTAAGTTTAAATGTCAGCCGGATTTTTTCATATTTTTTATAGTTAATGCAAAATTGATGACGCTATTGGTGACCTTGCGTTTTTTAATTGCACTTTTCAGATAGATTAGATTTGGCGACTCTGTTTACCTAATACTAAAAGTTGTTACAGAAAAAAATTATTTTTAGCAAATTTGCATGCAAATTAGACCTTTAGATTTATGTTCTCTCAGAAAAGTGTGCTTTTGCAGGCAAAAATTTTCTGAAAAAGATACCTGTCTGTTATTATTAAACTTTGTCTGTTCCAACTGCTTACAACTCTCTGTAAGAGATGAAATTAGCAGTTTGATTTCACTTGGTACGTGTTCGTGTGTCTTAATCAACCTACATTTTAGGGATGAGTTCTCTGTTGACCTTCATTTTAATTTCTACATCAACCCGACAAACATCAACTGCAAAAGTGATACTACGTGAAAAATCTTAGGGCACAAAAACAGGCATTGAATTGCATAAAATGAAGCTTCCCATCACAAAAAAAATCAGTTTAGAATGAGAAAAAGCAATGGAAAGGGACTCTCTCTTTAGGCATGCTGAAGAGCTTTTGATGCATTCTGTGTAATTCTAAGACGCGAAAAGACAATTCAGCCAATTTGAAATTCAGACAATTCAGCCCAAAATATACAGAAAAATCAGCCTGAGACATTTTAGCCAGTTTTACATAACGCTAGATTGAACATAACGCTAGATAACTCTAGATAACACTCGATAACATAACGCTAGATAACTCGGAATTGGAGTTATTTCTCGGTTTAAGGTCGCCGGTGGGCGCGCTACGCTCGCGTCGCCGCTTCGCGGCGATAACCGGCTCTAAATTTCGTATAGAGTCCTACCCTCTGTTGGCAAGCTCGCAACACGTTGGCGCGACTGCGGCGGTCACCATTTATGGCTGAATTGTCTCTGGCTGAATTTTCTGCATACTTTTGGCTGAATTGTCTGAATTTCAAATCGTATGAATTGTCTTTGGCCAAATTGTCTGGACGCGGCTGGCAGTTCTCTTAACGATCAACAAATCTGAAAGGATTTCAATCGCATTAAGCTGCTCATTTAGCATTCGAAGCTATGTTTAAAATGCAATCAAACAGGTGTATATAAACCCAAAAACACGAATTCTTATATCACTAATTTCGTTGCGAATTAACTGTAAAAAATGATTGAAGTTACAAACAGTTACTAACAAACCAGACAGTTGAGGAGGCGACAAATCCCTATCACTTTTCGCCCGACGAAATCTGCTTACAAAAGTAGAAAAAATAGTCTTCAGCTAGTTTTTCCGGCTGTGGAGTTTGGCCAAAAACGTTTTGAAGGTGTCATCCTTGGAAAAACTTTTCCAGGCGGGTGTTTTGAGTCAATTACATAAGATTTTGAAAACGATATCCGATCAGCTATCGTTACAATCAGCTCATTGATGTCCGACTCAATAATTGAGTAAAGGCTTTCAGAATGAGAAAAAAATTATACAAACCTGTTCAACTGCAATTTTATTGTTGCTAAAATAATTTTCACGCTTCAGTCAATTTTTTTACCTCATTTTTATTTGAAAAAACAGTTCGAAAAATGGAAAAGCTCATATCTATTTTTCGCGACGCTGAAACAACTCTTATATGGAAATCCAGAACGTTTAAAAACTTTAGTTTCATTCTAAACTTGAAATTTACAAGTTTTCTATTTTACAAATTTGTAAGTTGAGTTGTTGAAGACTTCGCCGAACAGCCTAGTTAGTACCTTCAGGTCATTTTTTGTGACGTGGTCGTTCAACCACGAAAATAATCAATGAGAGGCCAAACTGAGGATTTCAGATTCCGCAACAAGGATGCTCTCTTTGAACTTCTTTTTTTTTCGTTTTCTTTCATCGTTCCAACAAAATTTTATCGTGTTTAAAGACTTGTCTTTGGATTCCAGAGACCTACACATACTAAATTGTTTTCCTATTCTGTGAACAGTTCGGGCTCGTAATGATCAAGTGATAGCATGTTATAAAATGATGTAAGCTTTCATATTCCATATTCAAAACCATCACTCACAACTTCGCTATTTGAATATCATCTAGCTGTTTTCATGCCTCGAAAACGAACAAAAAGTAGTTTTCTGATATTTCTGCTTTACAGGGTTGAAGAATGCATGAATTAACTCAAACTTTTCAAAGATACCCATAATAATTTTAAAAAATATTGATAGAAAATGAAGATTGTGCTTTTAAACATTAAAAACAACAACTCGACGCCCAATTTATAGTGTAGCGAGTGTTTTAATAAAGTTATTTATGAAGATCAAATAAGTTTCAAGTAGCGCAATTAGTATTGTAAACTATTATGAACAATTCTTGCACAAGTAAATAGGATAGCCGGTGCTGTGCAAGTATCCCATGATGTTCCGACCATATTCATTAAAAAAATGCACAAGGGTTTTTTGTTTTTCTTAAATTAAAGTTGTTTTGGTCCGTGGTGCGATTGAAGAACTATTAAAACGTGCTTAAATTTAGTGAAACAGCATAAAACTTGCTCTAAATAAACTAATGACAACTAAAAATTGTAAAAAAAAATCAAAATGTTTCATTTTCAAAAATTTTTTAACTTTGTGCACAATGATTTTTAAGTTTGTTTTGAAGACTCTTAATTCCACAGAAACGCTAAATGAAACTTTAAAAATCAGTTTTTCTTTTGGAAAAAATCATATTTTCCTAGCCTAAAAGCCTAGATTTAGGTTAAACTTTCAAATAACGAATATTACTCGATCGTTTGCTTGCTCGAACTTGAACCAAAACTCAAAAATTTTCAACTAGTTTTTTTCGACATTATTCAAAAAAATCATATCGTTTGAATTAAAGTTAAAGCAAATTCAGTTTGAAACACCACTCAACCTATTTAGATCAGAATTTGTGGTATCTGATATTGCGCATCTGATATTCCAAAGAAAAAGAAAAAACTAAAAAAAACACGAGTACAAATCTCCTTCCCGTTTTCAATGGTCGGAACAAAATTCAAAATCTAAAGTGTTATTTCCGTTTGACTGCTGAAAATTTTATTCATTAACTGTAATTTTCTTGGAAATTTTTGTTCAGAAAGTTATGATTGAAATTGTTTAGCTCTTTATCGAGGTTACGTTTAAACGTCTCATTGACGATAGATCGTAAAATTGTCGAAATTTAGTGTCAAAGGAATGCTAGCAGCAGTCAAAAATTGTTAATGTCTAGAACAAGCTTTGCAAAAGTAATTAGTCAAAAAAGTCCAGACTGTAAAAACACTTGTCCCACAAATGCAGTCAGATTGAAATTTACTCTCTAAAGACATAATTTGACTGTCAAAGCTTCAGAAAAATTTACAGTTTCAGTGTTTTGTTTTGATATATACAATTAAATTTTGAATATATGAACAATCCCGTAGAAGAAAGATTTGTTGTCCAAACGAATCAAATTTTCACAGTAAGGCAGTGTTAAAAACGCTACAAAGCCAGGTTTTCGAAACTCTTGCGTTTCATTAAAAAAGGATGAGGCAATAAGTTTTCAGTAAGCGATGCAAAAATATATTAAAAGATACATTTGCTTCAATTAATTTATTTTTTTAAATATAAAAAAACGGTACCAACACTATGCTCTAAAGTGTGCAAAAAAATTTTTGTCGTCACTTCAGTTATTTGGTATGACCTGTCAAGTCTTAGAAAAAGTCTGTCAGAAATGTACCTTGGGTAATTGTCAATGGTATCGTTGGGTAACTTAACAAAATCTGGCTTTTGCTCGGCACTATCAACTGTTTTTGCAGGACAAAACAATAAATATCAATGAAAATATGCAACTGTTTTGAGTTGGAAACGTTATTTTTCTTTGTCGGTTTGAATTTTAACAATTTTTTTGCCACTTTTGCATAAGTGTCTTTTATATTAATTTGTTTGAGCAACTACAAAAGGCATGTCAATATTTATTTTTCTGATTTCGAAGAGAGTGACAGAATAATTGTGCTCGGGTCGGTTGATTGTCCAAACCAAATTCTCCAGACAAAATTCGACAAAACGTGAGCGGAAATTTAGTCCGGCTTAGAATATCATTCAAATTGAACTCGAGCATGCTATTTGGTCTCATCTGTCGTACTAAACTGGCAAAATGATTTAGAAGACAATACTTGATTCCATCTATGTCTATAAAACTTGCGCGTCGTTTTCTGACATGTTTTTTTCCAGGATAAAAAAAATAAGTTTTTTTCGCAAAAATCTCGCGTAGTCTCAGAAAGGCCTCGTCATAAATCATTGCTTCTCGAAGCTCGATTAAATGTATAAAACAATAAAGACTGTTGTCGTATTTGGAACACAAAATTTTCCCACATCAGGAATCTGAAAGAATCATTTCTACATAGATAAACAAGAAAAATTGTTATCTCAGTTTTTTCACAAAATTTTATTCAATTTAAAATACTATTATTTCTCTATGAGTTCACGAATAATGATTTTT